AATGGACTATTTTTGGCATTTAAGTGGAATGGTCGATTTTTAAGTGGAATAATTTTTGTGGGTGAATTACTTGCTTCGTTTACACCCAAGCCAAATAAATATTAAAATAATGGTCAGTCGGCATGGGGAACAGTCGGCAGGCGATTAATTTTGAATAAAACTTTGCATTTTTATTAAACAGCTGGAATTTAGGTAATTTCATGTTTTATGCTCTCGCCATCACGCCCTCCCGCACTTGAAGAGTTCTGGGGAAAAGTTTATAAAAACATTATCACACACCCACACAGCACTTCTTGGCCTTAGTTATGGGCCATCTATCAGTTTTTGTCTTGGGAAAGCGGGAAAATACCGCTCCGGTAGTCATCGGTAGGCTGTTTTTGGTATTTTAAAGACGCTAGCGATTCGTGGGCGACTTTATGCGGTTTCTCGCGATTATTAGCAATGACGTCGATGGGGGATTTCTGATCAACTGGCTGGCTGGTTGGCTAGCTGGTTGTTTGATTATTTTTCATATCATGGCAATGGGAATGGAATGTTTTCGGTGCGTGCGGGTGTGTGAGTAATGGAATTTGCACAGTTTAGTTTATGAAACGAACAGAACATTTCCATGTTCTTTTTTTCATCAATTTTAACTTGTATATTATTTAGCACGTTCTATTTTCGGGCCGCCACAAAACAGGCCACAAAAGTTCAATTGACTGGCAGTATAATTTTTATTTTTTTTTTCGGAGGAGGTATATTTGATGCTTTTCAAGGCGAGATCGACGAGTGCGAGAGATTTCCATTGGGGGCGTTGATGGATTCTGTTTTTAAACGTACACAATTTGGGTCTAGGTCCTGGCCCAGGTAAATGGCCCGAATGGGAACACGCGTTTAATATGTCTTAGCCTTATTTGTTTATTAAAAAATTATTTTATTCACTGCAGGTGAACTGCGCGTTGTGATCGAATGAACTGCGCTCGCTGACTGACTCAGACTTTGTGAGCGGGGCTCAGACTTGCTGTTAACCTGGCTAACGTGTAACAACAACAAGGCAGCTGTTGAGGGAGCGAGAGGGAGAGAGAGAGAGAGGGCGCTTGCGCGCGTTTTCGACCGCCACTTGGCAATGGCAGGGGCGGTTTTACAAAGCGGTTTCAGCCGCTTTCGCTGTTCTAGCCGCTATTGTTGTTGGCCAGTTAGTCACTTTACAAGCCGAACATTAAAACCGACACAGGGTGGAAAACGGTCAGCAAAGTCAGGTGTTTTTCGTAGTTTGCTGATTGCATAAATTCCAAACTGCATTTAATTTTTAAAATTTAAATTGCTTGTACCCCAAACTGAGTCAGTTGCGGCCTAGACTGAGTGCTAATATTTATGGCATTAAAATCCAACACTCTCGGTATAATAGTTCTAATTAAATCTTTACAGCGTCATCAAATAAGATTCCCCCTGAACTGAAAATTTTCCATCTTTCTTCAGACTTTTATGATTAAACCATTGTTTATGGTTTTTTTATTTTAAGGGGTATTAAAAGGTCGATTTAAGATTTTCACATTTGCAGTTAATATAATTGGGAGTCATTGAATATCCTTAGAAGAATTGGGAAAATTTTATATACGTATATTTTTTAATATTTTATGAGCTTTGGGAATTAAAAAACCCAGAGCGGGAAAAAACTTCAGATGGGATTTTCCAAAAATCTAAAATTACCCAATACCAAAATGGTTTTCTGCACTTACCCGATCCAAAAAAAAACCGCATTTTCGGAATTTTTTTACAAAAATAACTTGAGCTGTTTTATTTCAATTATTATTTTTTTCAGTAGAAGCTACTTTTATGAAGACAATAGCATGTCGATCATGTACAAATTGTGTAATTGTGTAGAGGTTGTAAAAAACGTCTTCGAAAAAGATGCTTTATGGTGTCGGTTTTTATCGGTTTTTAATATTCAAATCCAAAAAAAAAAGATTGATTTGTTTAAACTTTAAAGAATACATAAATCCCGGTAATAAACGAGGATTTGAAAAAATTCCTTTGTTTTTTTGACAGAATGGTCTAACTTTATTTACAAAATTGGGTTTTTTCCAAAGATGTTTAAGAAATATAGTAATTTATTTGTTGGAAAAATAGTAATTATCTATGTATTTAAAACAAATTCCCTAGTTCATTCTATAAAGAATATATCTAAGAAGATTGTGTAAAAATTTTAATTTGATAAGTTTATTCATTTCACCTATTTTTCACTCTGACAATGGACATTTAGAAATTGACATGAATTGAGTTCAAATTTCCACTTTCATATATAAAACAAATTTTAAATTTTTTTAAACCCCAACTGCGTATAACCCTTTTAACAAATAATTAATATGTTTTTTTATAATATTACTAGAGTATTACCCCATCGCCTTTTGGCCTTTTCGCTTTTCTTTGATCTTGTCTGGTGCGGGGTTTTTCAGACAACTGCTTTTCGGGCATATCAATTGGCAGGTTACGTGCCTGGAGCACAAGGTGTTTATTATTAGCAGCGATTCTGACGTACTTCGGCCAGCCCCATTCAGTGTTCCAGTTGCTATCAAAGCATGAAAACACACAAAAACAATGACGGGCACAGTTATGCTCGAGCTGGAGGCTAAATATACAAAATGCATTTAAAAATAAATATTTGTTTGCCATTCCCGACTCTGGCCCTTGGCATTTGGGCAGAGTGCTCAGAGGTACTGATAAGAAAGGCTGGATTAGCGATCGCTGATGGCAGCCACTACTTTTGACAATTTCACAGTTTACGTATCTGTCGGATACTTCTGCCAGCTGGCTTTTCATATCGGCTTGGAGGTTTTTCCATTCCCACAGCGTCATCTGGCAAAAACGTTACGTATATCTATGTTCTTGGGCCATGGAAATCGAAGTATCTAGCAAAGGTCATTTGGTGGCTTGTCGTTCTACAAAACTTGAGTTACCAAAACTCTGAAAATTCAGAAAATCAACCTGCTAGATAGTCATATAGTAGTATTCACTTCCCATGACGAGTAGCGGTCAGGAAGGAAGCAAAGTAACGTTCATTTAGCAGGTTACCCTCCTCTAATTCTACCTTTCGACCCTGGCACGAGGGTTGTTTCTTGGTCCCTTTGCACCTGTGACGGCATGTGCCGCTCCACCGCCTGAATCCGGAGGGAAGCCGCGCAGGTTGCCGCCAAAATGCCGTCAGACCAGAGTCAACCTGTTGAAACAGCCGGCTGGCCTGCCGGGCTATATCCCCGATTGCGTGCCAATTAATGACCGAAATGACTAAGGTCGAGAGAGCACTTGCCATGCCAAGTCAAGTGACAACTGCCGTTCTTTGATTAATTTAAAAAATGCCATTACCTGATTAATTGAAGCTTTTATTTTAGTATCAGTGACAGAGGGAGTCTATTAGTTGATAAGACTGATCGATTCAATTACAAATGATAAATCAGATGTATTAGTTAGTGGGATATTTATTCAAGTAGCAACTAAAGTCACTGTCAGTCTGTCAGGTCTGTCAGTCTGTGATAAGTACACATCATAATAGAAACCTCTGTTTAATTAGCATACTTCTCAGAAATATTATAACATTTTCCCTGACTTATGATGTCTCAGTAATGAAGGGTGTATGGAGCCTTATAATTAACACCTGTTGTAGACACAAACCCATTCGTTGATTGCGCCATGAGAAAATAAATAGAGCGTTCTATCACAAGTAACTTGAACGTGACGCCGTAGCCACATAACTGGGCTGTATAACCGGGATTACTAATTTGTAGCCACACTTTGTGACTACTTGTTTGATAACATTTGATGATTAAACAAAAAAAGCCCTTTTTAGGGCTGAGTTGTGGACTGAGAGTTTGTATGGAAGTCTGAGACACCTTATATTCAAATTACTCAAGCTCACCGTGTTCTCCTCCGAGTACAGGCCGCAAACGAGTTCCCGAAATGACATTTTCGCATCGAGCTGGCTGTGTTTATCTTTTTTTTTATAAATTCTATATCTGTTTGTTTTTTGTTCTCCGTACAAAACAATTGAACTTGCAATTCACTTTGTTTTTTATTTTCTTCTTATTTTTATCGTAATGACAATTTATTTATTTTCACTGCAGTCTGGAATCCTTGAACTTGCACTGAACTTTTTATGGAACAACTTTTCGCAGCGACAGCGACAATTTTATTTATTTTTAATATCCACACGTATAAAATAAATAACCGAAATTACACCCCCAGAGAACGGACAGCGAAAGTGAAACCCCAACGCCCGACAAAATCGTACAAAATCGCGCGTTTTCAAATGGAAAATCAAACTCAAATGCGAGTAGCCGATAAAAACATCATCCCAGATGACGGAGGACGGGCGGACGGGAGGGAGGCTGCGCTAAAGGTCAGCAGACGTCGACGGCAGTAATTGCTTTAGATTGAATTAAGCTCGATGGCCTGGGCAGAGCCGGAGGCAGCTGCTCCGGCGAAGCTCCAGCGCTCGCTCGGCCAGCGCTTTTTTTGTCGTGACCTACGAGTATGACGTCAGGGCCCGGGGGTCTTTATTTTTAGCCGGCTATTTCCGCCCTTATCACCGACCACCGACGCGCCAGCCGATAATAACGATGATCGGGAGCGAATCGAACCGAATCCCCGAAAGGCTTCCAATGTAACGCTCATAAATGAAAGTTCCACAGCCGGAACACGTCCAAAAGTCCGGGGAAGAAGCACCTCTTGCGAAAGCGTAGCCGTGACTACTGCAGCTCCGTGGAAATAAAGGCCCGGCGCCGACTGACAAAGGAAACACCCAGAGGCCCCTAGGAGTGTGAGAGAGTTTGGGACCCCTTATCTTGGGGGCTCCCCAAAGAGAGAGAGAGAGTGGAGGGGAATGATAAGCTCCAAGAATACAGGTAAGCCGGAGCGGCGTCCAGGTAAACTGATTTTTATAGCCTCCGCACAGGAGCGGTTCAAAAGGCTCGAGGGGTTATTAGCATTAATATTATATTAAAATTAAAAACTACTGATAGACTTACCCCCAAATCTGGTTCACTATTGGTAGCTTCTAGGAGGCAATGGCTTGAGGAAGAGGCCGACAGACTATGACGGTTCGAGTGAGACTTGTGGAGGTTCTGCAGGCTAGCCCACGTCTCCATGGGCTGATCCGTGCAGACCAAGTTGGACGACGACTGAATGCTGTCTACGGCCTCGAATCCCAACGAGTGACGCGACCCAGGCTGTCCATAGACCTGGGCGCTCAGCTTATGCGGCGTTGTTTGCGGCTCCAATATCAAGGATCGGCGCATCTTCCGGGGCACACATGCCGGATGGACAAAGGTGTGAGCCTCGTCAAGAGACGGAGCGGCCGAGTGCAGCGAGATATCATCCATGGAGGCCACAACACCCAAGGCACGAGGGGAATCGTCATCGTAAAGGTTAAGTACATCGTCGCAGGATCTGGTGGACGTGAGATTCGTGGCGGGACTCTTGATTAGATTGAAGTTGGCCAGGAGATTGGGTCTTCGCAAGGAGGAGCTCCCCAGCGGGGACTTTGGATGAGCATCTGGGTCGGGCATGGCCCGGACAGTCAAGCGGTTGTCTGGAATTCCCACTATGCCCAGAGGTCGAGCTGGTGCCGGATGTGCTGGTGGCCCGGCGGGGGCTGCTCCGGCCCCGGCACCCAGGAAGTCCACGACCAGAATGCGGTCCGAAATGTTGGTGCAATCGTTGTTGAAGCCAATCCCGGAGTCGGAGTTCGAGGTGGTGGTGGAGATCTCGCTGTGGTTCGATGGCTGTGGCGAATGGGCAGCAGCTCCCGCTCCCCCGGCAGCGGACGGCTCGAAGTCTGTATTCCTACTGGAAGGCGGCAGTATCCTCATGGTGTACATGCTGCGGACCAGATTAACAACGTACTCCGAGTTGTTGGGGAACTCCAGGCATATATTGGAGATGGGATCCCTGGTGCACTGCAGCTTGAACTCATGCGCCCGCTGCAAGTGCTGGGCATGCTCGATCAGCTTGGTGTCGATGACAAACACATGGCAGCTGTGGGAGATGCTGATGTGACCGGCTCCTGCTCCACCTCCACCGCTGGGCTCGTACTCCTCCTCGATCTGGGTGTTGTGCACGGCGCTAGTTACCAACCCGAAGAATCGGTTCTCGCTCTCCGAGGACGAGCTCACGTAGTTGAGCCTGGCCGAAGAATAGGTGGCCAGTACTCCGCCACCGGAGCTCTGCAGGCTCAGGCTATCCGGGGTAATGCACATGAGCACAATGGTGGGCTGCCGCTTCTCCTGGCGCAGCTTGCGAATGCAGGAGCGCACTGTCTGCAACTTGGAGCTGTGCGATATCTGCTTAGGCATCTCGATGGTTCCCAGATAGCCCACTATCACACGGTACTCCAACGTAGCGCTTCCAACAGCCCTAACCATGGCGCTCACATTGGCCACATCCGCTGCCTTGGACAAACCAGACGCCAGGGGGGCGTCCTCCAGGACAGGACGCAGAGTAAGATGCTCCGGGGATGGCTTGGCAGTGGTTTCCACAGTTTCTGGTAGTGGTAGCTTCTTTTGCGGCGAGTTGCGCAGACGGTGCAACTTGGCTTTGTGGTGCAGGAAGCGCGGTTTGTGCCTCAAACTGGCTGCCAGAAGTTGTCCCCTCAGCGTTACATTGGCGTTCTCCTCGTCTGAGCTGTCAGAGTAGTAGTTCTCCGCTATCTGCATGCGGATGCTGCCGAAGGAGTTGCCGATCAGCTGCACCACAGTCTCATGCGGCAGCTTGGAGACATTCAGGCCATTTACCGAGATGAGAAAATCGCCGGAGCGCAGGCCAGCCTGTTCGGCGGGGGAGCTGCTGATGATGCAGGACAGCCGGCAAGGCTGTTGACCCGAAATGGTGAATCCAAACCCATTGTATCCCCTGCGAACCTCGACGGTGCGAATGCCATTGTAGTTGTAATTTGGTCGCTTCTTGCGGCGGCGTTGTTGCTGCTGCTGGGAATTTGAGTTTGATGTGGAGGCCACAGGAGCTACTGCCGAAGCTGAGGCAGAGTCTTGGATTCCCGATCCTCCACCGACCGCAACTGCCCCAGATGCTCCACTAGCACCTCCGGTTATGGGCAACGGCGGATGATGATGGTGCATGGCAATCACTGGTTGGGGGAAACAAAAAAACTAGAAAAAGATCTTGGCACACATCTCGAGATGGTACGCACCTTTCTCATGGATCCAGGTTGCTTTCTGGCGATGGAATGCGGTTTTTGTTGCTTCCCCTTTTCGGATTCTGGCTGTTTTTGCTCTCGCTCGCTCCAAAGTGTATATTTGCCTAGGCGAGCTATGTAATCAATGGCACACACACTCGCGCACCAACTGCCAGGCGTATTTTGTTACACTTTTCTAGGCACTTGACCAGTCCGATTCCGGCATGTCCTCCGAGGATCGACCAAGCTTACTCAGTTAATTACTTTGTTTCACCATTTAAAATAGTCTTGGTGGTCATTTAATTTGTTAATATCAACGATAAAGAGATTCTACAAACGCGCAAGCGTAACTACAAGTGTGTGACCGTACGCGGAACGCGTAAATATACCAACCACAAATAAAATACCAGACAATTGAGGTGCATATGTAAGGGGTTACACCGTTTCAAAATATTTTTCATTTAAGTAAAAGATATTTCTAATATTCATCAATAAACTGATAACGTTCCCAAAAACTAGATTAATAGTGAAGGTCAAAATGTGAACTACATTATCAACATTATCATTAATACCATTCCAGAAAAATATGGGTGAACCTGGTCCCTGTTGATTCGACAACAAAAAATAAAATAAACTTTTATTACTTTTATTATTTTTTTGTTTACTTTTATTCTATATATATATTGTACCCGCTTGGTTACAGTTTTTTCAGAGGGATAAGTTCCCCAGAAATCATGAATTTAATTATTATATTTTTATGAATTAAGGTCTAATCTAATCGGACAGCAAATAGAATGAAATATTCACGGTGTCTAATCATAAATAGTAAATGAATAGTTTTTTGGGGATTATCGCAAAAGTGAAATATAGTGAAGATTTCTGAAAACAGTCGCAATTGTCTCTTTGTCTGAAACGCGTTGCTTCAATTATGGGAAAGAATCCTTATTTTGTCCTTTTGGCTGGTTTACTCTTTGCCTGGGTTCCATTTTTGGTAACAGCCGACATAAGCAAGGAGCTTTACGATCTCGAAGTTGGCTTAGAAAGTCTGAAGAATATCACGGCGAAATATGAAGCCGAAGTCGCCACAAAGACTATCTATGATCTGCTGAAGTCCATTGATGTAATCGATCTTGCCATGGGAAACTACCGGGGGAACGCCACGAATAAACTGGAAACCCTTCGCCAGTTTAAGTTTCAAGTTTATCACGACTACACAAATGCTATATTTTCTACCTTGGATCGGATCCGTAGCATCTACGCTTTCTTCAAATTATTTAACCGAAACTCTAATAACGTTACCCTGTCCAGTAATGAAATAAAAATACTCCAGGAAAGGGCAATAGATTCGGGGCTTAATGAAACTGCGATATTGCTGGAAAAACTCGGTAAAGCCGAAAAAAGTATTGCTGATTTTGCAAATCAGTTTATGTTATTTTACAATGACGTTAACGATGATTTCGGGCCAGAGGGCTTCTACGGCAGAAACGAGGCGGGACTGGAGGATAGGATGTTTCCGTTGTATTTTAGGATCGGTGGCGTGATATATAGACACGTTATTAAGCCGTATGGGACCCAGGACAAAGACCAGGGGCTCCAAAAGAAAACCAATAATGAACATCAAGAGTTGATTTACAATTTCTTTACTACCTTGTTTCAAACGGCTCAGCAAAATATTGAGGATGTCCACATTCAAATGAGATTTATCGAGGGAGCGGTGAAGGAGGACAAATCCAATCTAATTAAACTCCAAAAAGTAATAGATGATGCTAACAATGTAAGTATTCAATTAAAAAAAAATGTATTTTATACAATTTTATTTTATATGTGTTTGCTTTCATTTTATGACAAATGATTATTATCAAACTAACAGCTCCTGTAATCCCGATTTACTCCTGTCATCGAGAATCTGAGGAACGGATATGTGGATATTCATCGGACGGTTGAAATGGAACCATCAAATTGATTGGGATTTGCATATTAATCAAAAAATAACATTTGTTTTAACCAATACTATACAAGCTCTTCATTGTCTTATTAATATCTGAATAAATTTACAAAAATATGTTTCCAAAATCACAACGAACTAGATTCATTAACTTATAAAATTTCAAACGCCAAAGTTAAGATTACTGCCAATCTCGGAATAAAATATGCCAAAGAAGATGAAACCATATGCCATATGCAGAGGAAGTTCTTCAATTTAGGACGTTTCTTGTATTGATTTTGAAAACACAGCATATCGTTTGCTCTTCATGCTAGCTCTATTCGTAGTCAAATCTTATGGTTTTAATTTAAGATAGATTTAAAAACCTTGCAGAGACCATTATAACTTTTGTGACACCTCCGACTCCCCTCCCTTTGTCCATCCAGACCGTCTGTTTATCGATTTCAAATTTTGCAAACATCTTTTCTTCCTTTGCACGCAGTATACAAGCCGAAACGGCCGAGATCCGCGGACTATTTCCTACAGCTTGGCAGCTGATAACTGACCTATCGGAAAAGTTATAACTTTAGAGTTTTTTGAGCTAAAGAGTTGGGATTTGTATAGATTCTATACTTAATAAAATAATACGACATACCAAATTTCATAAGGATCGGTCCACTATATTCTATAGCTGGCATATAACTAAACAACCGTAAATTTTGGGTTCTAATAGATAGAACTTCAACTCCGTCCGAAGTAAGCTTTCCTCTCATGTTTTAAAACCGGTTTTATTAAAAATTAAATTATAAAAAATTGTTTAAAAATTATTGCAAAGATTTCTCAAGAAATACACATTTTAACAATAAATCTTAATAATAATCTGAATAAATTCAGTTTACTACTTTTTTAAAAGGATGTTCTTTTAATTAGTCAAACACTTTTATCGCAAAAGCAGGATTTATGAAGAGTAAATTTTAAGGGTACATTATTTTTTATTAAGGGTTGTGGTCTTAGAAGGAACTAACTGGATTAGACTGCTGGAGCCTCAAAAGAAATGGAGCAAAATTCATCAAAACTTTGTTTAAAAATTTATAATGCAAATTAATGCCTTTAGGATTCGTTTAAACGTCAGATTCGGCAAAAAAAAACATAAAAATATAGTTAGCTTTAATTTTTTATTTGGAATTGGTTTTTATTATGCTTAGTCAGATATTATTAGTTTTTTATCAGAATTCCATAGGGCAGTATCTTAGTATAATTTTAAACTATTGTGACTCATTAGAGGACTCCTCTTGGACCTCTGGTTTTTCTGTTTCTTCTTCGGAATCCTTAGTCTCCGCGTTTTCTTCGCCTTCATTAATATTACTATCACTGCCGTTGGTCTCGACCGTATCTTGATCAATCCCATTAGTGTGCTCTGGCGTGGGGGCTGTGTCATTTTCTGTAGGTGGTGGTGCTAGTCTTTTGAGCTGCTCACGTGCAGCATGGACAAGCTTCTCTAACTCTACGCACTCCGTTTCGATCTCGTAGTTCTTGGACACTAATAACACCCAATGAGCCTCCAGGGAGCGCAGCCTTTCGCCGGCCTGAGTTTGCGCTTGTTTTCTTTGCCAGTTAACATCCTGAATGTCCTTCTTTAGTTGCTGAAGGTGCAGTTGAGCCTTCGCCTGCATGGCTGTGAACACCTCCAAGTACGATTTCCATGCCTCTGTTCCGTAGTCCAGCATGAGCTCCAGATTCAAAGATCGTACCCACTGGTGCTCTAGCTGGGCCATTGAGTTCTCAATGGACTCTTGCCAGGCGGAAACCTCTGAGAGTTTACCGGACGGAGGCGGGGGCAATTCATATCGTTTCATGGAAAGAGTTTCCATGGGTAGGCGGTTCTGGATGCGCTCGAATTCATTGATCATCAGTGGAGTCTCGAATGGAGAGCTAGCTGGCAGCGGCAGGTGATCCAGGTAGTTCTTTGTAGGCCGATAGCGTCTACATTCTTCCTCCACCATGGCAAGGGCCTTAAACAAATAAATACGACTTAAAAAATGCCAAGCAAGCCGGTTTCAGTGCGTTTGCTTTATCGAAAAAGCAAGTCCGCCTCTGCGTCGATGCCACTTACCGACTCCCTGACTCCCACGTCGTCATAGCCGTGATCAATGTACGGCAACGCATCTACAATAACTTCTCCAGCCATTTATTAATATTTTAAAAACCTTTTATTTACCAAAGCGTTCCCTGCTGATGGCTCTAGAGATGACAATATTATTAGAGATGAAACTTCGTAAGCGATGTTTAATATTATGCTCTGTTAACCGTATGTTATCTTGACAGTTCATGCTGTTAGCGAATACAACCCTGCCCTGTCATCCGATTGGCAGCACTTTTCCGCCATTTCCGGCAGCTCTCTTTCTTTCTTCGTTCTTCTTAATAAAAAGAGGACGGTATCTGCGTTTGCAGAAAATTTAACACCATTCATTGGGCTTGAAAATCAACGAAAATGGTGAGAAACTGAGTGGGCAAGGGCTCGCCACCGTCCCGCAGTCCGGCAAGATGGATTAGCTCATAAAAAACGCCAAAAATAAGGCAAATATCGGTACTTAACCTCCACGTGTTTGGAATGTGCGGCGGTGGCGGCGCTTCCTATTGTCAAGTGTGATATTGTGGTGGGAGTGAAAAATAACAACCAATTTGATTTGCTTACAGAGCTTAGGCAACGCCAGGCCATTGGTCTCCGTGTACACGGAAAAGAACGAAGCTGCTAAGGACAAGAGCATCTGCCTGCCGGCTGTGTTCAAGGCACCTATCCGTCCGGATGTGGTCAACGACGTGCACCAGCTGCTGCGCCGCAACAACCGCCAGCCCTATGCCGTCAGCGAGTTGGCTGGTAAGTTAATATTAGCGATTAAACCCTTGAAACATTTTAATTCATCAATTATTTGATTCTTAGGTCACCAGACCTCTGCCGAGTCCTGGGGTACTGGACGTGCTGTTGCCCGTATTCCCCGTGTGCGCGGTGGTGGTACTCACCGCTCCGGCCAGGGTGCTTTCGGCAACATGTGCCGTGGTGGACGCATGTTCGCCCCCACCAAGACCTACCGTCGCTGGCACCGCAAGGTCAATGTAAACCAGCGCCGTTACGCCCTGGTGTCGGCCATCGCCGCCTCCGGTGTGCCCGCTTTGGTTCAGTCCAAGGGCCATATCATCGATGGAGTGTCCGAGTTCCCTCTGGTCGTCTCCGATGAGGTGCAGAAGCTGCAGAAGACCAAGCAGGCTGTCATCTTCCTGCGTCGCCTGAAGATCTGGGCTGACATCCAGAAGGTACGTAGAAGCCTTTTGGTGTTCCACCAACTGGCAATTCCTAGAAATTATAGATTCGTACGGCAGCGTGTAAACAACTGGCTACTTCTTAGTGGCTAGATGTTTACGTTGGTTTCCTGCGCTGCCAGATGAAATGCTTTTCTAGGCGTTACGTTTGAAACTCAAAAGTTTTAATCGTGGTAACAGATCAGCTACATTTCTATCTTCTATCCAAAGACAAAGACACCTTACCAAGTCAATATTTTACTAAAAACCACTCTCGTTTCTTGTTCGCCATTGCAGGTGTACAAGTCTCAGCGCTTCCGTGCTGGACGTGGTACCATGCGCGACCGTCGCCGCGTCGCTCGTCGTGGTCCCCTGGTGGTCTACCACAAGGACGAGGGTCTGCGCAAGGCCTTCCGCAACATCCCCGGCATTGAGACCATCAACGTGGACAAGCTCAATCTGCTGAAGCTGGCCCCCGGCGGTCATGTCGGTCGTTTCGTCATCTGGACCGAGTCTGCGTTCTCGCGCCTGAACGATCTGTTCGGAACCTGGAAGAAGCCATCCACCTTGAAGAAGGGCTACAACCTGCCCCAGCCCAAGATGGCCAACACCGACTTGTCGCGTCTGCTCAAGTCCGAGGAGATCCGCAAGGTGTTGCGCGATCCCCGCAAGCGCGTCTTCCGCAGCGTGCGCCGCCTCAACCCCCTGACCAACGTGCGCCAGCTGGTTAAGCTTAACCCCTACGCTGAGGTCCTCAAGCGCCGTGCCGCCCTCGCCGCCGAGAAGCGTACCGTGGCCAAGGTCCTGGCCAAGGCCAAGAAACAGAACGTCGAGCTGGCCAAGTCCCACTTCGCCAACGTGGCCACCAAGGCAGCTGCCAACCGCGCCAAGCTGTTGGCTGCCCGCAAGAAGAAGGTTGCCGCCAAGAAGCCCGCGGCCAAGAAGTAAATTACTGACCACACACTTTTATATTATAATAAACCACAAAAGTTGTATGAATTTTATTCATAATACAGTTGGAAAGTAATTACTTATTAAACTCTTAGTCTTAGGACATATTTAGTATTCTCTTTTGTGGCTTAGCTCTTAGGCTCTCTAGCTCAGTCGCTGTGCTCTTTTATCACCCATTCTCGTAGTGATCGGGCTATCTCGCCGCCACTGATAACGGATGGTGATGGTGGAGACGCTGGGCCAGAGGCAGAGGTCTTCGTGAACGCTCGCGCAGTACATATTTATTGTCACACGTTAATTGGCATTTAATTAAGCGCCGAGCGTCATTCCGCTGTGAGCGCTCGAGTCGCGCGGTTGGGCCGCGCAGTAAAAAATCGCAAAATCTGAAAAATCCACAACAGAATCCACGACACAAAGGCACCAGCAGAATAAAGGACGAGTCGCATTTGATTCAATTAACCACCGCGGCAGTAAATTCGAGCAACTAGCTGTGAACCGAAAGCCGAGAACCGTGAACCGTGAACCGGTTTGGAAGTAAGCTCGGCCTTTTCCCACTGCACTGCTCCCCCGTCCGATGGAAGCTGGCCAAAAAAATAAAAGCGAATGCTATCTAGCTAAAATCTCGGAAGGCAAACCCCGGATCGTACGACATTTTTTTTGATGTGTCCGTCGTCTGGTTATATTGAGTAGAACGCAATACTATACCTACATACATAGACCCACCACCGCCGCCGATCGGAGCAGAGAGCGTGCCGGAGGAGGAAGAGGCGCACATATCAGCATCTGCCGCTGGAGAGAGCTGCGAGCAAGAAGAGAGAAAGGCGGGCGGCATCGTCGTTTTTTGTTGTTGCGGCATCGTCGTCTCCATTTTATTTTGCACTAGACGCAGCCACTAAAGGGTCGCGCCGGTCACTCGCATAATCGCCCAGGGTCAAGGCACATCTTGGGACTACCACGCACTTCCGATCATCCGGTCGGGGCCTGATTGGGACCCTATCATCTAGCCGACCTAGAAGACCCAGCATAATATATGTAACAATGTTGACGACCGTCCTGAACTTTGCCCAGCGAGTGGCGGAGATTTCTTTGCTCGGCGGCATCGAGATTGCATCAGTTGCCCTCATCGTCTACTACATTTTCGCCAAGACGAGGTGAGTACTTGCCTCGCCGCAGAGTGCCTAGTGCCTAGTGCCTAGTCAGATGGAAGCCATTTAAATATCGCATTGCGGGCACCTATTATGCTAAACCACCCCCTTCTTGGGCCGCCTCCAAGTTCAAGTAACGCAATGTAGGAAAAGGGCCGTTATTTTTAGACGAGAACACTGAAACAAATACTCCACCCAGATGTGCCGAACCAGGTGTTTAAACATAATGCGACAGAGAAAGACAAATCTTAGCCGATCTGGGAAAATTTTTTATGAACAATTAGTAATATTTTTTCAAGAAATTGTCCAAGGCATAAGAAATTAATTTCTTTTAAATATCACTTAGAAGACAGCTTAGCAAGTTTATTTTTTTGTTTTGGGAGTCAGATTATATTATTTCGTGGCCCCCAAATTTTGTTGTTTACCGTGCTTTTAAAAGTTATCCACTGCATGCCAAATGAGCTATGTGCTATGTGCTTTGTTTTGATATTATTGGTCGCACAGGTGGTTGCTCCATCGGCCGTGACTCATGCTGAGCCCTTTGTCCAAGCACTTGACCCCTTGGAATGTGTAAATTTCCGCTTATCGTCCACGTGCCCATAGCAAGACTCTGTCTAGGAGATCGCCATGGGATCAGGATGCTCTGGGGTCACCAGCTCGGCGTTGGGTGACGTCAATTGTGTTTTTGTTTTTATTTATTTTTTTGCTTGCACTAGCACCTACGGCAACACTTTCTACCTCTCACTACGATCCCCACACCCACTAAGAGCTGGCTCCGAGGCGCAATTGCTGATGTTGCACTCGCAGTGATAACAATTACCCACACGGGCACTCGCAAATCATTCTTGGCAACAATTATCGGAATCTAGATTGCCACTGTTAAATTTGTCGCTAATTATCAGATTAAAAAGCTATTTTAATATCGCTGGATTGGGCTACAAAGAAAGTACACCTCCATCTCATAGCTGTCATAAATACTGATTAAATGTCAAAGTAGTGGCCGCCAGGAGAACGTGCCCCTATACTCGATTGCCAAAAAATCACCCAACCGAGTAGCTCTATCCTCCGGAAATTTTCCACAGCTCAAGATGATCTTGAGTCCACTTTTAGATTACCACACAGATTAATTTTTAAAATCCACAATATGATTTTTTAGAGGATTGGGTGATTAGATACTTTTTTTTAAACTTAGAACTTACGGTCCAAAGATGATTTAAAAAGCTTTATCTTCCCTGGAGAGAATTAAAAATTTATGTTAATTTTTTTTTAAACAATAAGAAGACTTTATTAATCCCTAATAGTTGAAACAATATTAGTTTATTTTTTTAAGCCTTTTTTTAATGTCTGAATAATTGAAAAAATTATAGTTTCGGAAGGAACTTAATAAATGTGTGGCTTTGAAAGCTTACTTTGAAGATCTAAGTACACAACGTAATAAAAAAAAGATAATTTCATTAATTTTATGAACTTCTAACCTCTGGTTTTGATTTACCTTTTTTTGCTTCCATTCAACAACAAATTGTTTATTAGTTTTTTTGTTTTGTTTTTTCAATTAAAAGACTATATGAAATATATCAGCTGATTTTCAAATGATGATTCGCCACAAAGACCGCTCAAAGTTCAGCTTTGCTCTATATTTTATGAGCAACTAAACTTATCAGCTCCAGGCACTACTTAAAAAAGTACACCATTTTCCATATAAAAATAAGTAAACACATATAAGTCCACTGATGAGTGCTGGGGTATTGAACTCCCCCGAAGTTGGACTATTGTCCGATACCCTCAAGTAGCCAAATATTATCGAAGAGGGGCTATATATATTTAATTGCGTGTTCCTGATTTCAGTACCTCCTATGGCGATTGTGTTGATTGATTAAAACTTAATAATGATTGCAGAGCACCCATTATCATCGCTGGCCTGTTCCCCAACCTGAATCTGAGCTACCGTTCGTCCCTTGGCAAGATCAACACCATACGCAGCGATCTCCTGGTCACGCTCCGTTCATCCAATGTAAGTTTTCCAATCATCCCATCGGGCATATCGCCTCCATTGACCCCGAATAATAACGACTTACAATTTAAATGTGACGCAACTCTAGCGCGCGACGATTTTCCCAGATAAGCAAAAATATTTCCATTCAATAAATTCTCCACCCTGCCTGCACTGAAGATAATTCGCACCGATCGCGAGTCGGAAGTTTTTGTATAGCTATTCGAACAATGCCATAATAACTTTTAGTAACACTTTTAAACTTAAACTAGGATCCATAACAAGGATGTACCATGTTAGATAACCAAAATTCAAATATCGGTTAGATCTTGTTTGAATCTCCGGCAACGCCATTTCGCGCTTAAAAGTTTGAATTTTGGCAGCGCTACCAACTCGTCCTTGCAATCGATAACAATCCTAAAAGCTAGACAGGATCTATCGGGAAAAAAGCCGGGCGCGTGTGCGTAGGGAACGCAAATGATTTGACTCGAAATTATTAGTAATCCACAATTAGTTTAGGAGAATCTCATAGTTATAATGTCCAATAAGGAGTTCCACGCTCGTGGCTGGTTCGAGGTACTTCTCAATTGCCCTATATTCATCCTATATGTGTACGGCAATTGCATCACCTATTTTAACATGATCTTCTGATTCTAGGAGCCGAAGGTGCAGAATTCAGTTGCTCATGGCATCGGCACGCAAAACATGTTGGAGCTAACCCCGCAGTCCGGCCAGAAACCCTTTAAGAAGCTTTTTGACTGGGGAGTGGTCTTCCCGTATGTGGCCCAGGTGGTGCGCAGCGAAAAGTTCGAGTACCGACAGGTAAGCCTCTCAAATAATTTGCTCTGCGATGGGTTTATGAAGCTGTATTTTTTTACGACAGGTCACCGAGATTGTGCACAATGACGCCGTACTGAAACACGCCATTAAGCAGGCGGCGGAGCAAAGTTTAAGGGAGCAGCGCTACGCGAAAAATGGTCATCGTCTGCTCACGCGCAGTGCTAGCGGAGATCAGTCAGCTTCGGCGGTGGAGGAGGAGGACGAGAAGCAGGGAATCTCTTACCAAGCCATTCTGAGGAAGCAGGAGCGGCGTGCCATTAGCATCCTGAAGGACATGGGCTCCACGCTGAACAACGGGCTTCTAGCATTTACTTCTTGGATCCTGTACAAGCTACTACCTTGCTTCCTATCCGGGGTTGTCACCAATACCAAGCAGATTGAGATGCTGAAGACTGCCACCGAACGATCCCCCGAAACTCCATTGATCTTCGTGCCTTTGCATCGCAGCCATTTGGATTACATCATGGTCACTTGGATCCTAACCAACAACGACATTCGCAGTCCTTTGGTTGCCGCCGGAAATAACTTGCAAATACCCGTTTTCGGTGGGCTGCTCCGTGGTCTTGGAGCGTTTTTCATCAAGCGCAAGATCGACCCAGTAGAGGGAAAGAAGGATGTGCTTTATCGTGCTGCCCTTCACCTCTATCTTACCCACGCCCTGAAGCAGGGCCACAATGTAGAATTCTTTATTGAAGGCGGCCGCACCCGTACCGGAAAGCCTTGCATGCCCAAGGGCGGTATCCTTTCAGTGATTGTGAATGCTTTCATGGATGGCAGCATTCCGGACGCCCTACTAGTACCCGTGTCTGTGAACTATGAGCGCCTCGTCGACGGAAACTTTGTGCGCGAGCAGAAGGGAGAGAAGAAAATACCCGAATCGTTCACCAAGGCCATATCAGGTATCTGGAAGGCCCTGAGATCGAACTATGGGCTGATGCGTATCGATTTCAATGAGCCCTACTCGATTCGGGAGCTGGTCAATTCGTACAACAAGATTGCTCGAGAGGATGGAAACAATGCCAAGGTGTACAAGCCGGCGGCAAGGTAAATATTCTAGCATAGTAGTCATTCTATTGTTGGCGGAGAAACCCCTAATTACTTCTGTTTCCAGGACTTTGCAGCACAATCAGTCTACGTCGTCGTTGTACGGCACCGATGTCGTGTGCGAAGAGCACCGCAATCTCATCGAAAGCATCTCGCGCCAGGTGGTCTTCGATTGCGCCGCCGCAACCTCTGTGATGTCTACCAACGCCCTGGCCTTCCTGCTGCTCACCCGCTTCAGGAAGGGCGGCGAGGAGCAGATTTTAGCCGAGGCTCTGGATGACTTGCGAAATTCGCTATCCGGCGCTAAGGACATGGGTTTTTCCGGGGAATCCTCACAAATACTGGCATATGCCTGCGACCTGCTTGGCTCAGGTAAAGATATCCTCCCACTAATGTCCTCCGTTGAGTCCTAATGGAATTTTTACTACTAGGTCTTGTAACACGCACAAGGGATGAAAACGGACGTTTGGTCATTAGGGCCGTGAATTCCGTGGAAAGCTTTATTGAACTGGCCTACTACTCCAACATGCTCACGCCGCACTTTGCCCTCAGTTCGATACTTATGACTACTTTCCACGCACTGCTGCCGGAGACGGAAGACAAGAAGGCGGCTGGAGTTCGGCGCAAAACCCTGATAGACGCCGCCCTGGAAAACTGCCAGATCTATCGCTACGAATTCATACTAAACAAGCCCACCCAAGTGTTGGAGAACCTGCTATACAAGCAATTGGATGACCTGTTGATCAGCGGTTGCCTTGTAGCCGAACAGGTAATGCATTTGTTTCACATTCATTTAATTTATTCATTGCCATCGAATTGTTTTTAAATTTCATTTACATTTTGTTTTTTAGTTCTTAAGTTTATGGTAGACATTAGCACAAGCTTCATTTTCATAAATATTCATCGGTACATTCGTTAATAGGTGGACGTTGATGAGGATGCCAATCGGGCTAGGCGCATGGCTCGCAACTTGGCGGATTGCATCGACGTGGACGACGACTTCCTCGATGTGTCCAACGACGGCGGAGACGACGAAAAGGTGCTCTTCGCCCGCGATACCCTGCAGCAGCAGCGAAACATCTGCGAGGTGCTGGCACCTTTCGCCTGGACGTACGTGACTGTGGCCCAATCCCTGCAGATACTCCACCGCAACTCCATGCTGGAGTCGGAATTCATCAGTTTTGTGATCAACGACTTGAGCGGCAAGGTCAAGCGCGGAAGCTGTGCCTATGGTAAGAGGCAGTTCGAATAGTTCTTTTCCATTTAATCATCTTGAATATTATTAAAGCTGAGAGCATATCGACGGACTCGGTCCGAAATTGCCTGAAACTGTTGGAGAAGTGGTCTGTGATCGAGGTGTGCAACCAGCAGGGCATGCGGCTGATCTCACTCAATACGCTGTACGAGATGTCCCGGGAGTCGCTCAACACGATCGTCAAGAAGATCGACGCCATTGTGCCAAAGTACAACTCGGATTATTTCAACGCCGCTCCCTAACCGATTGGATTGGTTTATTCTTGGCACTCAACGCTTTATTCTTATACCTTTAATAACGTGCATATCCGCTTAAGATTAAAGTGCGTACTCCTAGATCTTAGACTTAGCTATGTCTAGTTTTATAGTCATACGAGTTTTATATGCCAAAGTGCTAGCTTTACTGTAGCTGAGAGACAAACATTGAAATGTGAACAAAATTTTAAGTATAGCTTCCTAAAATTGTCTTAAAGTGCGTTCTTAGAGCAGAACAGACAGACCAAACGAAACAGGATACAATATATCATTTATACTGAACTGATAAACTTTATAGTTTCATAATGTAGTCAAGTAGAACAGATACAACGACATATTCTTGATTTATTTAAATAAAAATGAGCTGGAGAGCAAAAGGTGGACCAATTGTCTACTAAACTTAACTGTGATTTATAGTTAATAAATATATGTGGTGTGTTCAGCAATGCAGTGATTATTCTTCAAAATATAACAAAATGCAATGTTTACAAAAAAAAAAGAAAAGTAAAGAAAAACAACATGTTCATGCCATCCGTCATGTTGGGCAATTTCAAAGTTCAGTTGTAACCGCAACCTCCTCCACCGGCTCATCGTCCGCGCTAATGTGCTTAACCTTCGGTGGCTTTTTTGCCTTTTTGGGGGGTCCGACGTGGATGCGCACCATGGACCCCTTGGCCTTTCCAAAATGTTTCAGCTTGTTACTGCTCTTGCCCTTGCTGCCCTGCGACGTTGATTCCTAAGTGGTGGGAGAGTGGAGTTATTTTTAAAGCAGCTCGGTTGTAAATGGAGGAGTCACTTACCTTGGCAGTGCCATCTTTGAGCTTGCCGCCAATCTCGCCGGAGCAGCGAGTTGCCCCGCAGAAGCAGGCCTTTTTGCTATTGTTCATGAGATCGTCCCACAGATAGTTGAAAGTAAGCTCAGTGTTCTGGCGAAGAGAATACAATTTTTCAAATAAAGTTCTAAGATAATAATACTCCTCTACATACCGCCGGAATGTCCTTGATGGCGAAGAGTCCCACACGGTGGACACAGTTGACCGTCCACTTCTGAGTCTCGCAGTTCGGGTCGCACGAGTGGTTCATGAAGCGCGCGAGATTCCCCTTTGGCCCGGCGTCGATGATGAAGTCTTTCTCCACGCCCAGGAAGTAATAGTTTTCATCACGATCGCGCTGCTTCTGAACGAGCCGCTCTTGAAACTCAGCATGGTTGATGACCTCGCCGACGTACTCTATCACAAAAGTGCCCTCGGCAATGGGCTCCCGGCACACGAGTCCAAAGCCGCGCTCGTTCATGTAGACTACTTCCAGGCGGGGCGAAATGCGCTTCTCGAACATCCGGTTCTCGCAGGCATCTCCAGCGCGGCAAAAGTCCGGGTTGCACTCGTTGAATAGCATTCGGTTGAGGCAACCAGCCTCCGGGCCACAGGGGTGGTCCTGTTCCGGCCGACAGTCACAGGCGCTTAGATCCTCGAGGTTCTGCATGAACCGCACTGGCGCCACTGCCTTGTTGGCCTTTATTTTGGTGTAGGGCGGTGGTTGGAGCTTACTGCCATTCTGCCGGGCGATGGCTTGTTCTTGCCGGCGGGCCTTAATGACCTTCAGAAAACGGGTCGCCTCCGCCACGCCGGCTATATAGTTCTTGGACAGCTGGGACTTGGTCTTGGGCCCGTCGCCAGTGTCGCCTTCGATGTAGAGGTACACCCTTCTGCGGGATATCCAGCCGTGATCGTGAGTGCCAAAGAAGCGCACCACAAAGTCGTTGTCGCCATGGGATTTCTTTAGTATATTGCTGGGAATTTCAGTCGGGGGCAGTATAATGGCCGGCCACCACCGGAAGTTATTGAACTTTGCCCAAATGATTTCCCCGTACAGGGGGAGTCGTCCGCTCTCGCACTCTTCGCAGATATAGCTTTCGTTGGTCTTAATCGGGATATTGCGGCAGTGGGCATGGACTGCAATGGGGCAGGTTTCGCAGCAGACCAGCTCTCCGCCCTTGACGCATATGTAGCACCACAGCACGTTGACGTGGGCGTCCCCCTTGGCGATGGTGTGGCGGGGACAGATGATGTTGGTGGCAGTTAGCATCTGGGTGCCCGCGGGAATGCAGTGGGAGTCTTGATGGTAAGTGGCCGGGCATCGGACGCACTTGGCCAGCTTCGAGTTGCTCACCTGCTGGAACTTGCCGCTGGGATCGTCCGAGACGCAGGTGTGGCACACATGTCGTGGACAGCGGGGCGACTGTTTGGCGCTACTAGCCTGGGGCCAGTACTTACAGCAGCCTATGTGGAACCGTTTTCCACACATGGGCTGGCTGCAAGTGAGCAGTTTATCCTCCGTAATGGTTTGAGGCTCATCTTCCTTAAGTGGAGATCCGGGTAATGAGGCCGTTGGTGACTCTACTTGGTGACAAATGACACACCCCTCGGGCTCCCCAATGCTGCACTCGTGGCAGATCAAAGGTGACAAGACACTGGCGACCCCGTCCCCCGTTACATGTTCTATTATTTCCGGAACGGGGGATTGGGAGTTGGAGCTGGCTGAGATATCTTTTGGCTTCCTAACGCCTTTCTTAGGCATGGGTGTGCCGGATTTCTTTCGCTCCAGGCAGTCTTCATGCAGCCAGTTGTTGCAGTTGCGCGAGCAGCGCTGCAGATTGGATCCCGGGGCATAGCAGTATTTACAGACCGGTTCGCGGTTGAGTCCACGGAAGAGGTACTTGCTGTCCAGCTGCAAGATATCCTCAACTACCTCGTCGATGGGCCGGTTGACAAGTTTCCTAGGCTTTGTTACCTCAGAATGTCGACGCTCCGGCTCGGCAATGGCCGGTGTTGGACTGGGTGCCACCACGGGAGTCATGCTGCGCCTCACCATCATCGTTTTCAAACGATTCGACAGCCTCTTAATGGACCCCACACCGCGGCCTCGTTCCACAACAGCAGAGCCCAGCTGCTGCTCCATCTGCCCACTGGACATGTCGCGCTCGAGCTCGCGCAGTTGGATCTGCTTCAACGACCATATGTTACTGACCACAGCCAGGAGTACTTTTTCCACTTTCTCCTCGTTGCGATGAACCATCACGTATTCCTTGATTACATCAAACAGCTGCCCGAATTCCGGATTCTCGTAGAGAGAGGCGTCAGGAGAAGTCTTTTCGGAACTGGTGCCTCGTGCCTGCAGTGTGCTCACAGCTGTGGTGGATCTACCAGTTTCGGTCTCGATGCCGCCGCTAAGTTTACGACGCTTGGCGCGCATTTCGTTTTTGCTCTTCACCGGAGAAAAGGCGGGACTGAAGGGAGATTCGGAGCGTTCGCGTTTCGAGGCCGCCAACTGTGTGGACTGCCGGCTGAGCAAGTTGTCCGTGGAGTCGTACAGGCTGCTGCCCACGTCAGAGGTGTCTTGCATCATGGAATTGGTGCGTTTGCGCTTCTGCTTGTTCAGCGTGCTAAAACGAAGGAAAACTTGTATGAGAAAAGTCGATTCCTAAGAATAGTTCCTTCCTGGAACTTGGCAATAAGCAAGAACAAGAAAAAATGTACTTCATCATCTCTGATGTGTATGTATACTTACACGGCATTCTCGTAGACCTGGTAGAACTTCTCGAGTCGCTCCGCGTAAGGTAGCTGTGTCACGATCTGGGCCTCTTCGATGGCCTGCTTCCAAATAGTTAGCTTAGCTCGCTTGGGATTCATCTGCCTGTACTTGGCACTCTTCGGTCCGTGCTTTATGCGAACCTCTTCTCGAAGTTCCTCGAATGCCTGCAGACCAGCAAAGGGCAGCAGGTTTTCGGGCTTGATCCAGTTCCGCCTTCCATTGTCCGCGAAGAATCGCACATGCACTTGGATCGGAACTGTAGCTGCGTCCAAAGACGAGCGCTGGGGATGACTCGGCATATTACCAACGATTTGGCCAAACGGATCCGGACACACCATGCAGGGCCAGAAGCAGTACGAGAAGACCTTGCCCCAAAACAAATCACCCACTTGGTAGGTCGGCCACCCAGGATCGGTAACAATAGACAGCCCCTTCGCACTGTCTATGCTTACCGAGGAGGGGGATTTCATTGAGCTGTTCACTTCAGGTTGAGTGAATGTGCTTGAGCTCACATCTGGTGGCGACTTTAGTTCCGCCTCTGTCGACGTCGACTGCGGCAAGGCAAATGGAAGCTCGCTTGGCTTTTCCAAATCTTTTGGCTCCTCCACTAATTCATTAGATTCTGTGTGATTCTCAGCTTCAGTTATGTCTTCCTCCTGGACATTCACTTCCACAGCAGTATCAGCCTCAGCTTCGGCTTCAGTCTCAACTTCAGTCTCGCATTTCGAGGTAACTATTTCATCAATTTCGTTTGAAGTATTTTCTGTGTTGTGAGGTTCATTATCTACTACTTCGCTGGTATTTTCCACTACCAAAGGCTGGGCATCGACATTGGTGGCTGCCTTTGCTTTGCTCATTCTCTTCATCTTCCGCTTGAGTTGCTTGCGAACGGGCCGGATAGCCAGATCTTCGGCGTCCGCTTCAAACCCCGTACTGTTTGGCGAGCTGGCGCCGTTTTTCATCAATAATTTCTCTATGGGACTCATGTACTGCTTGATGCCGCCCTCCTCGACAGCACCATGACCTGGACCAACCGTCTTTGGTGAATCATTATCTCGGGACAGGCTCTCGCCGGTACTGCTGCCGTTAAGAGACGCCGCTTGGTTCAGGCGCCTTCTCGTTGTGCGTATGGTGTCGTCCGAATCCGAAGGTGGCGTGGGCGAGTTGGCGTTGGCATAGCCGATGTATTTGGGGCTCAGGGCCGACTGCAAATTGATTAGATCGCGCTTCCCTACAAACGCGGAACGAAAAAGTACAAGTACACACACAAGCAAAGGCACGCACGAGGTAAAAGTTTATATTAGCATATGGATAACAAAAGGCGGGGTATGTCCGCTGTTTATGTTGTACTCACTGTTCACGGCCGAGAGACGCTGCTGTGGCGGCCTCTGCAGCTGCCTGCCCGCAGGGGAGTCTGAGGAGTGTCTATCTGTGTCGGCGTCCATTTCCACGTCAACAGATATCTCGGCCAGATTTTCCGCAGGCTTTTCTGGCGAATCATGACGCTCCGTTAGGCTCGCCGTTATATCTGTGACGGTTTGCTGATTTGGGCCCTGTGAGTCGGCGTTAGGCGCCGCCGCCGCCTCTAAATCAGAAGCTACTTCCACAGGGTTCTGGGAATTGTACGACACATTACTCTGGGCGCCTTCACCCTCGATTTCGGAGTGTGAACCCGCACTCAGTTTCATTATATCACTCAATTGTGCTACTTAAATATCAAACACAACCAGAAACAATAAAATTCCTATAACTGGGCGCTTCGCGTGCGCCAAAATATAGTAATCGGGTTGCAACTGTGGGCATCGATGGCTCGCAAGTATCGATATTTTCTTAGAGATGGTAAACCATTGCGCGCCTTAATCGAAAAAGTCACAGTCACAGGTACCAGAATAACTAATTTAATAAATTGATTGCTGACGATGCATGTTTACACGTTTAGTAATTAAATTTAAAGATATTTACTCTTACAACTCTTTCATAAAATTTGTAATACTTAATTTCACTCTAAAAAATTTATTCCAAAACTTCCACTCATATATATTTGAGTCTTAGGGTCGTTCATATATAATTAATATTTAATTATTAATAATATAATTATTATTTAACAAAGCAAGCAATAATATACTCGTTATATAAAAAAAAATATTTCTATTTTCGCAAAAATATATATGCAGAAATAAATCATATTGCATTTGCGTCACCTCACAGTCGCGCTACGTGCCATCAGCCTGCGAACATATGTATACACCTAGCGATAGCCGAATCCGATAGGCAAGTCTCTTCACTAGATCTTGTAAAAACAATTGGAGATGAAACGCATGTAACAAACATGGACGAATTTGTAAAAAGCCTCATCGAGGAGGTAAAATCGCAGGGCGTGTTCGATGAGTTCCGGTTCAACTGCTGCCTGGCCGACGTGGACACAAAGCCCGCTTACCAGAATGTGCGGAACAGGGTGGAGACGGCGGTCAGCGACTTCCTGTCGAAGCAGCACTGGACGCCAGACACTAATAAGCTCCAATTGCGGGAGAAGCTACGCAAGCATCTTATAGAGTAAGTGCCTGGCCTTAAATAAGCATCCAACTGAAATATAACGTTCTTGTATTGCAGCTCTGACGTCCTCAACAAGGGAGTGGATCAAATCGTGGACCAGGTGGTCAACCCCAAGGTTGCCACCATATTCGAGCCAAAGATCGAGAGCATTGTCTACAAGTACCTGGGAATCACACCTCCTCCTCCGCCGCCAGCAAGACCCACATTGCTCCCTGCGCCACCGTTGCCGCCATTTGCTGGCCACATGAACGGCAGCAGTATGCTAAAAGTGGAAACGGCTGCTGGACTCATGCCCACTGACCTGGAACAGATCAGTCCGGATTCCGATCGCGCCACTGTTAAGTCCGATGTAAAGGAAGAAAGTAAGGAGGAGGATGACTTGCCGCCAGGCGTGGATGACAGAAACTTCGATGACGATACTTCTCCATCGTATGAGCCAGTGAGCGAGGACAAGGCGGACTCCAGAAAAGAGGAGTTAAATAACGGGTCCATAAACAATTCAGACTCTGTTAACGGCGTCTCCCAGGCGTCGCAGCTTTCCCAGGTGTCTAGCGATAGCCGCCTAACCATGGCCTCATCAACCGAGTCTGCGAATGATGTCCAGCAAGCAGCAGTCTCAAAAGGTAACAACATTGACACGACGCCAGCCAACATTTCAGAGGAGGCCCAGATGCCAAAGTTCAGCGAGAACTCCAGTGATGCTACTAATGAAAGTCGCCATCTGCACTTTGATATTAAGAAGGATGCCATAACCTTTGAGGGTATGTTTCTTATTCTTAGTTGTTATTTGATGTTAATAGCTTCTGTTGATACTAGGTACTGATCGCAAGAACTCTGTATCAGAGGACATAAAAGGGGGACCCCCCATTCTTTCCATCGAGGATGCCATTATGTCGGAAGTAAAGGCGAACATTGTGGACGCCAACAACGCTAGCATTGAGCTCATAGAAACGGTTCAACCGCCTCTACCACCACCAACAGTGCCCATAAATGAACCACCTCCTCCGCCGCCACCAAAAGATGATCCCCCACCTCCGCCTCCAATTGTAGAGCCACCACCAGCTCCACCAAAAGATGAATCGTCATTGCCACCAAGACTTGAGATGCCTCCGGCGCCAGCAGAGATACCAGCACCGCCACCCCCATCAGTACCCCCTCCAACGCCACCACCTCCAACACAACCACCACCTCCGCCTGAGGGCTACAATGGCTCGGCCTCAGAGGAAGCTGTTCCGGATTCAGGGTCTAAGGAGACTGAAAATTCCGCCTCACAGGAAAAGAAGAAGGAATCTCTTTCTGGAGCAACAGAAGAAAAGGAGAGGGAGAAAGCTTTAGGAGTTGCTCCTCCGGAAGAAATTTCTAAAAGGTGTGAGACGATGGTGTCGCCTGCCAATGCGAAGAGCGACGCTAAAGATAGGGACAAAGACCGTCGCCATCACTCTGATGACAAACACCGCCGGAAAAGTAAGGATAGGGACCGTGACCGCGACCGCGATCGCGATCGTAGCCGAGACCAGTCGCGCAGTAAGCATTCCTCCAGCTCGAAACACTCCTCGTCACACTCCTCTAGCTCTAAACACAAGAGCAGCAGCAGCTCGAAAACCGAAAAGAGTTCCTCCAGTCGGAGCCATCAGGAATCATCATCCTCAAAGCGTTCCATATCCACCTCCTCATCCCGCCACGAATCTAGTTCCTCCTCCCACAAAAAACACAAATCTAGCTCATCCTCGTCGCGGACTGATAGGGAAAAAGATAGAGATAAGGATAGGGATAAAGATAAAGATAAGGATAAGGATAAGGTTAGGGATAAGGATAGGGATAAGGACAAGGATAAGGATAAGGATAGAAGTAGTCATAGTCGCAGTCACCACAGCAGCAGCAGCTCTTCGTCCAAAAGAAAGGACCATGAGCGAAGTCGAAATCGTGACCGCCACAAGTCCAGCTCATCCAGCAGCGCTACAAACACTGCTATCCAAGATGATCACAACGAGAGCAAAGCCAAACTCCTCAAACGCCGAGGCTCTGATTCCAACGATGAGGGCAAGCCACCTAGCTCAGGAGGCCCAGCAAAGACTTCAACTCCAGATGCAACATCTGCCCCGGAGAAAGCTGACGCCACTGTGGAGAACGGCAATGGTACAAATGGGAACTCTCATGGGGACAGCAACGGTGCATGCGACAAAGCCGCGTCCGGTGGTGTTGTTTTGGTCAGTGACATCTTGACGCAATCGTCCACCAGTTTTATAGAACTGGGCGGTGGGTCACAGTCGGGAAAAGATCTACCGACAAGTAAACCAGGAGCGACTGATGCTGAAGAACCAAAAGATGAAGCGGGGACAGGATTCACAAAGGAATCGTCTGAACCGAAAGTATTGGAAGCAGATCGTACAGAAATACCTGAAAGCGCAGTATCAGAATCCCAATCTACTAGTGATAGCAGCAAAAAGCATACAGGATTGGAGATGGGTGATGGAGAAAACACAAAGAGTGCAGAGGAAGGCAAAGATGATCCTCCAGCGATCGTAGAGAATCCAGAATCCACTGATACCACCAGCCAACAGACAGATGAACCACCCGCCCCACAAGTTCCAAGCTCGAAGGATCCAGATGATGTGGTTTCCGGTGACTGGGTGACCCATTTTGAAGAAAACCCGGAGGAGTTTAAGGATCGTCTGCAGTTAATCAACAAACTAATAGAGGACCGTAAAATCTTGGTGAACAGGCTGAGCTCGGAAGGATCGCCAGGGGATGTGGTGGATGTGAGAGCACTTCGCAGGAGCATATCCAAACGTAGACGGAGCAGTGCGCCGGAGCAGCCCCATCCAGAAGACCTGAGGGAAACAGCACCAGCCCGACCGTGTAGTCCCGGCAGCAGCACATCCGGCAGTCCGGCCAAGAAGCTGCGGCGCGACGAGGCAAAGTCATCACCGACGCCATCCGAGGCAAGCATTAATTCCAAGGAGAACGAGGCTCTCGAGAAGCAGGAAAATGGTGCGTATAGTAGCTATGCAGAGTACTGTATGTAGCTGCGAAACCAAGAATCACTCTTTGTAACCCCTCACTCTTTGATTAATCTAAACATCATGCTCATCCCCATTATTATCTACCGCCTCTATTTCTCCCCACATGCCGGTCATGCCCATTATTAACTAAATTATGTATTTACAAAAACACACACATATGTATGTAGCTGTGTGATAGGACCCTCTAGTCCTATCAAAGTCAAAATTATGCGGGTAAGCGCTTCCCGCAAGTCTTCAACTCCTTCGCTTCATATCTGTCGAGCCCTTCCTCGAAGTCGAAAGATTAATGTGTTTATTTACTCTGCAGTCACCATGTCCCGCAGACGACTCAGCCAGAAGCTGTGCCAGCAGCAGCGGTACTCCAACGATGATCTTTACAAGCCCCGTCCAATCCTGTCGCAGCGCTCCCGTCGCCGGGGCGTGGATTCAATCCTCTAGCTTTCGAATCAAAACTCTGTTATCGAAAAAAAAACAATAAAAGCCAATTGTTGTTAATGCATTTGACATAAATCGTATGTTTTCTTTTATCCGTTTAATGGGCCCCTCTCGAGCCAATGGGTTCTTGCCGCTGAGTTCTTTAACAATAAAATTTTAATTTTAGGGCTACACCTTGCCGTTTTATAATATTCGGTGTAGCGTATTCATACATATATATATTATGCATATATATATAAACAAAAATAACAGTGAACGTAATAATATGATGCATTATTGTATGTTTTGGGGATTGGGGTTGTTGTCCGATGTCGCGACACTTGACTGGGATTACAACTAGAACTGCCTAGTGCTGCCTCGGGCACGTTAGAATGTGTGATGACTGGTAAATGGTAAATAAAAAATAGTTTAAGGATAGGATGATCGTCCAGCAGGATGGGGGCAATCGCAGTCAAGTGCCCGGCAGGGGACAACGCATATAGCTAGGCTACTGGTCTACAGTTGGGTTGGCTAGTTATGTAGTTTTTCGGGCTCTGAACTGGACTATTCTGGGGGATTCTGCGGTTCGTTATATTTTGTTTTGTAACATCTCAGTTTGAAGATTTAAATGTAATTTGATTACAAATTATTGAATTTCCGCTCGCGCCTCTCGCTTTACATTGTTTCGCTCTTGGTTACTTTACAACGATCAACATAAATATATGCATATATATTTTCGAAACTTTAAAAAATATACATATGTAATAAATCAGAGTTGTAATACATAATAGTAGGTAATAGGTAATAGTATTGTACAAGAATTAGCATTAGCATTATTTTTAACAAGAATTTCGCTTTTCGCCTAAAACTGTGTTTTGTTTGTTGTTTGGGGTGTGTAGTGTGTAGTGTGCTTGGGTAGGGGGTGGTGATTCTTTTGTTTTTGTTTTTGTTTGGGAGTTTTTGCGTAAGTGTGAGAGCGAGAGTTTTGTGCAGAACAACAACTACGATTTAACCTCCGTCTATGGAGTGATAAAACTCTCTCACCGACTCCTCGCAGAGTATTCATACAAGCAGCTGGGATCGGGGGCGTGGGAACAGCTGGGATTAGCCGACCGGTGGCACAGGCATTTCTAATGCCGTGGCGACCACCACAACCTAATCCGACCCATCCCCCAGCCCTCCCGACACACGCTGCCAACTAAAAGCTACGCTTAGGTTTAGCTGTCGCTACTGCTTCTACAAACGTTTCGAAATTCGAACGAAGGCCCCGCTCGCGGCCACGTCCACGTGCCTACGTAGAGAATCCCCGCTCGTAGGGACTCTTCACGTCCGTATGCCTCGTGTGTAGGTTGATTGTGGGTGCGGCGGGTCGCGTTGACAGCTCGCATACCGTCTTGATGGCACCAGATGGGTTTACGGATGTGGGCGCTGGATGTAGTGTCGCAGTGGCAGCACTCTCCTTTGACTCTCGCTCCCGCTCCTGATCGGTGTGCTCAGCGCCTTCGCTCGCCGGGAGTACGTAGTCCGTTTTGCGGATCTCAGCTTTACCCGTAATTGACGATTTGTACTTTTCGGCGTCCATGCCGCAAAGGTAGAACTTGAAGAATTCGTACGTGGACCAGCAAATAGCTGTCGCCGGCATGGAGTACAGCACGCGGGCAGTCATTCCTCTGAAGAAGCCCAATGGACCAGCCATATGGTAGATCTGAATAACACAAAGTTGGATAAATAAATGATTCCTAGAGAATACTTGTGTTACAAGTACCTTGCGGGCAGCCTCGATCATGCCTCGGGTTAGACCTGTCTCCTGAGTGTTTAGTAGCGTCTTGACAACATCCAATGGCGTTGTGATGGCCGCCGCACTGGCACCCGCCGCTGCACCCGCCACCATGTGCACCTTTGGATTGTATTTCCGCTCCAGATTAAACTGTAAATAGCAATAATCTTGAGGTTACAGTACGACCCAAAGGGTGAGCTTAGATAATTACTTTGTTCTGAATAAACTCGTATATTGTAAAATGTATCGTCTGATATGGTAAGTTCATGAATAGCTGCGTCCCATATGCTCTGTAGAATGCCTTAAAGCCCTCCTTCTTATAAACGTCCCGTATGCAGGTGACAACCGATGTGTACGGCGAGTTGTACATCTGCATCCGCTGCTTGATGACGTCCGTGGGGCTGGAGATGCCATCGTGAATAACAGTGGCCACCACTCCCGAAATCACTATACCAAATCCGAAGGGTTAGTGGCCAGTGAAGGATAGGGAAGCGCTTTACTCACCGTAGTTGAGGTTGTTGTGTTTTGTGAACTTTGCCGTCAGTTCTTTGACCATCTCGTAGGAGGCAAAGTAGAGCGAATGCGCAGGACCGGCTCCCAAGACTACAGCGCTGGCTCCACGAATAGGTCTGCAAATCGTTTAGTTTATCAGTAAACAGGTATTGTCCATGATTGTATAATTTACCTTAATAAACCCTCACGGGTGACCATGTTCCGAAAGGTAGAAAGTATATTTAAATCCTTTGTTGGCGGTGACAAGCTCTGCATTCGAGTCTGTGAAAGGGCGATGAAAGAAATTAAATATTTGCATTGTGTGGCAATAAATTGTTGCAAATAATATGGCCCAGGTCTTATTTAACTTCTAAACGAACTTCATTTCGAGTTAATCGCAGTAATTGCCGAGCAGTTATCAAAGGTTAATGTTTGAAGAGTCGGCCGTGGCAAAAGGCTTCATAACATGAGAGTCATTGTTACTCATGATTATTATTTGGTTTAGGAACTTATTTAAATAGACCTGGAAAAGTGAATTTCGTCACGAATGAAATTGCAAATTCTGGGGATTTCCACCAATCCCAAGTAGGAGCATTGGCAACGTAATTGTTCTAGAACCTGACATTTTTGTTTTCGAAATACAATCTATTTAAATTTAGCTTATTAGCGTGTGGTCAGCCGTGGTGACGGTTTCTAGGAACATGCGTTATATCTTATCGAAATTGAAAATAATTGGTTTATAATCATCCATTCACAGATATAGTGGCGCCCGCCGAACATACAACTTGTTCATTGTTGAGAAACACTTTCGCCGATTTATAAGCAAGTCACTGCATGGGGTTCAAGTTTTAAATCGTGTAGGTTTGTTCTATAAGCTCCTATATATATTTAATTGCATATATATACCCTATGCATGTGTATTTAAAGGCGTGCCTGCCAGCCAGGCCTTATAAAATTATTGCACAAAGCGAAAACAGCATCCACATTGTAAATCATGGAGACGCGGGCTTAGCGCAGGGAGATAACGCTTCCAGGAAAGTGCCCTAAACTGCATTTATCAGCCAGCTTATATGGCTGCCGCGGCTGCTGCTCACTATCAATATCAAGTCAACAAGACGATTCAAGGTGAGGAATAGTTCTCCAGTGGGAAAACAACAGAAACCTAATTAAAGTGGTGATGGATAGATACTGCCATTACATAAATGGAGGGAGCTGATGGAACTGAGAGCGGCTAGATGGGCTCTATGAATCACTGCTCTCCGGGGGCGGCAGCAACCACATTAAGTGGGCCCTGATAAGGCAAATAATATGTGAAATCAGAATGACAACGCTGCGCCGGTGCTATTTATAAACAAAGCTCAAAATAATGTGAATAGAGTGCTAGAATTCCGATCAATTGAAGCGCTCTGCCAGCGCAACCGCGTGAAATTAGCTCGTCAAAGCGACGAAAGACTATAATGATGACGCCGGGAATCCCGGCCAGGCTTTAGGCTGGCACCAAACTGCTTGCCGGCTGTCACCGGCCGATTGGGTTGACACACGAGTGGCCACACATAGGAAAATCAATAAATATTCAAGTGGCAAGAAGTACATGAGGACTGGAAAGGCACATATGTATGTATAAAACACGCAGCCTTTGCATTACGACGATGCAAAGTAAATTTGCATACGCATTTGCACAAGTGGTGAACGCGCCTAGGCGCTCCGGGCCACCTAATTAAAGGTGAATTTCCGCAGGGAAAGTCGCTTGGCCAACAGTCCATATGACTGATAACAGGTAGCACTCTACAGCGATTGTCAGGCGTACGGCTGGGTTAATCTTATCGGCGGGCAGCATAAACCATCAGAACGTGCCCCGATAAGCGCAATTGCGGGGTCTAAACCCCCAAAGAGCCCCCAGAGCTCTCGGTTGCACTAAAAACCCGAGGAATTACATCACGATTATGCCAGAGCATACGAATTTTTGTTTGTGTACACGCATTTGTGAGGTTAGGTATGCTTGTTTATACTCTTGGACAAGTGCTCCTCCGGTTACGTGCCACCAGCCGGCTCGGTGGCAGGGCGCTTACCTTGACTGAGTCCAGCGGATACATGATCACATGCTCCAGCACGCCCGCAATCGCGCCCGCCGTCATATTCACACCAACGCTGGTGGTGGGCAGCGATTCGTAGTCGTCGATATTCATGGTTGAAGCGGGTGAAGCTGCTCTGGCTAGCGAATTGTGGTATGCCCTTGCTGTGGCTGCTCCTGTTACTACCAATCCAGTTCCAGTTCCAGTTGTCAACAGCCGCTTTCTCCAACGCTGCAGCACTCGTCAATGTGTTCCGACTACTCCTTGTCCAATGGGCTCAGAAATTGGATTTTAGATCAAGATGCGTTTGCTGCGTCGATTATCGGGTTGCGCGATTTCAGCCGGCGTATGTTAAACACGGAATAATTTTGTTGTATAACACGGTACGGGGGAGGGGTGGTAGTGGTGCTCGTGGTACGTTGTATGAATGAGGTGGTATACGAAACTACTAATTGACACTGTGGCTGCCTCGTCTACGGCTACGGCTAGGCCTCCTGCTGCTACTGCTCCACCTCCACGACTAACATCGACGAAACGCTGCTCGCGATTGGGATCCGCTCACTGAAAATCGGAGCAGTGGCACTGCCGAGAGGTTTTTGCGGTTGCTCTGCCCGCTGCTTTCGCTGGTGTCGTAGCTTCTGCTGATGCCCTGACCAGGGCGGTATCGGATGTATTCTGGAGATACAAGCTCGTCTGTAGGCGGGTCTTTCCCCCAACTGAACGTAAATTTTGTATGTTTGACGACTCACGCAAATGCTGAATGATTACAGGAATCATTAATTTCGTGCTTGCCCAATTGGTGCGCGTGTGTTGGTGGAGCATGTGAGGAAGAGCTGACCAAAGCGGAACGTCAAAAACAGCTTGTGGCTTAGGAATGGGCGATGAAATGCGAGTGCCGTGGAGGAACTATCGTCTGCACGATCCCATCTCTATCTCAAAGCAATAGAATGAACATGCTGTTTGACGGGTAATTGCGCCGTTGCTTTAAACAATTTTTATCTCTTGAGATAATGGTATGATAAGAAAATAGAAAAGAATGAAAATTACAGGCATAATTTGAATATATGTAGTTATATTCACACTGTCATTTGTGATTCGGGTAAGCTGGCGACCAGTGGTGCCAACTTCTTGCTGTTTTTAAAATATAACAGTTATTTGATTTGTGCAAAAAGTAAAATTGCAGTATCTGGTTGCTTTCATCAGGGATAGAACCGTTACTACGTTTCTCGCTCTCTCGGCTCCCAGATCTCTAAAAAAAAACATCATTTTTTTCATCATCAAACATCATAAAAACAAAAAGCGACTGTCATTTCCGACATTCCTAGTAGGAATTTTCTACTGGAAAAAAGTACTACCCAAAATATTCCTCAGATATGAGAATAAAGATTTTTTTTGGGCTGTCTGTTTTTATTTTGTGCCCCCTACTTTAGATCACAGCTAAGCCATTTTGCAAAAATCTGAAGAATTAAGCCTGGATTCTTGAAATCGATTCGCGAAAAAGGCTATCTGGCCGGAAAACGGCTAAACTGTCAACCCTGAGTAGGACCACAGCTCAAGAACGTGGTGGGACCGTCGGTGTTTTAGGCCACAATTCCAAAAGGTATCCACAACCCCCACTATTTAAGGCCTTTTCGGCAACGAAGCACCACCACTTTTTTTCCGTGCATAAGCGAGTCGGACGCGAGTGCGAATTATTTATTGGATTTGAAAGTCTTGATTTTCGTGACGTGGCCTTTCGCCGGAAGAACTGATACCACGTCCTTCATCAACTGAGATATCCCCAATCATGAAATACTATCTACTGCTGGGCATCTTGCTTCTGGCAGGTAAGTCTCACTTGCCACGCTTCAGGGCGCCGCATAGCCGGTGTTTTAACCTAATTAATTCATGTATGTTTCATGTGACGCTAGGCGTTAATCAGATCGCTGCCGCAGAAGATGAGGCTTCCACCGAGACCATCGACCTGGACCTGGGTTCCTTCAAAGAGGGTTCTCGAACAGGTAAGCCACGCCTCCCCAGGCTACCGTGATTTTTGGTACACGTCAGCGTTAAACGCCCCCTTTATCTATACCAATTCAGACGCAGAGACGCTAAAGAGGGAGGAAGAGGCCATTCAACTGGACGGTCTTAATGTGGCGCAGTTGAAGGAGCTCCGTGAAAAGGTGGGTGTTTCATTTTTTTGTCTTTTTCTGTATAATCCGTAAAGTACACGTAAGACTTTGTATTGAACCAATATTATTGTTTGGACAGGCCGAAAAGTTCACTTTCCAAACCGAAGTGAACCGAATGATGAAGCTCATCATCAACTCGCTGTACCGCAACAAGGAGATTTTCCTGCGTGAGTTGATTTCCAATGCTTCCGACGCCATCGACAAGATCCGCCTGCTGGCGTTGACCAGTGCCAAGGAGCTGGAAAGCAACCCTGAGCTGCACATCCGCATCAAGGCCGATAAAGAGAACAAGGCGCTGCACATCATGGACTCTGGTATTGGCATGACCCATCAGGATCTGATCAATAACTTGGGTACGATCGCCAAGTCTGGCACTGCCGATTTCCTGGCCAAAATGCAGGATCCCACCAAGTCGGAGGGAAGCGATCTGAACGACATGATCGGGCAGTTTGGAGTGGGTTTCTACTCGGCTTTCCTGGTCGCCGATCGCGTGGTGGTGACCACCAAGCACAACGATGATAAGCAGTATATCTGGGAGTCGGACGCCAACAGCTTCAGCATCACCGAGGATCCCCGCGGAGATACCCTTAAGCGAGGATCCGTGATTTCGCTGTACCTCAAGGAGGAGGCCCAGGACTTCCTGGAGGAGGAGACCGTCCGTGAGCTTATTCGCAAGTACTCGCAGTTCATCAACTTCCCCATTCTGATGTGGTCGAGCAAGACCGTGGACGAGGAGGTGCCCATTGAGGAGGAGGCGAAGCCAGAGAAGACCGAAGATGATGTGGAGGATGAGGACGCCAAGGTGGAAGAGGCCAGCGAAGATGACAAGCCCAAGACCAAGAAGGTGTCCAAGACCACCTGGGACTGGCTCCTGATCAATGACAGCAAACCCATCTGGACCCGCAAGCCCGCCGAGGTTACCGAAGATGAGTACACCAGCTTCTACAAGAGCCTGACCAAGGACTCCAGTGAGCCCCTCACGCAGACTCACTTCATCGCCGAGGGAGAGGTTACTTTCAAGAGTTTGCTCTACGTACCTAAAGTTCAGCCTTCGGAGTCCTTCAACCGCTACGGCACCAAGTCGGACAACATCAAGCTTTACGTCCGCCGTGTCTTCATCACCGACGAGTTCAACGACATGATGCCCAATTACCTGAGCTTCATCCGCGGTGTGGTAGATTCCGACGACCTTCCCCTGAACGTTTCTCGCGAGACCCTCCAGCAGCACAAACTCATCAAGGTGATTAAGAAGAAGCTGGTACGAAAGGTTCTGGATATGCTGAAGAAGATCGACAAGGAGGCCTACCTGAAGTTCTGGAAAGAGTTCTCCACCAAGTAAGTTCTATTATAGAAATCTTGTCTAACTTTGCGATATTTATAAATAGAATTATCAAGAAGTTTATTATCAGACTGACCTTGATAAGAATATTTAATATTTTATAAAATTTAAGAGGCCTTACTTGGAATTTTTAATTCCAAGAACTATATTTTAATATTTCATGCAGATGATAATATAATTTCATTTTCCTTGAATTGCAGCATCAAGTTGGGAGTGATGGAGGACCCCAGCAACCGATCTCGTCTCGCCAAGCTGCTTCGCTTCCAGACCTCAAACGGCAAGGGCGTCACCTCCCTGGCTGAATACGTGGAGCGCATGAAGTCCAAGCAGGAGCATATCTACTATATTGCCGGCGCCAACCGCGGTGAGGTGGAGAAGTCGCCCTTCGTCGAGCGTCTCCTGAGCAAGGGATACGAAGTGCTCTACTTGGTGGAGGCTGTCGATGAGTACTGCATTTCGGCTCTGCCCGAGTTCGATGGCAAGAAGTTCCAGAACGTGGCCAAGGAGGGCTTCAAGCTCAACGAGTCTGAGAAGAGCAAGAAGAGCTTCGAGCTGCTGAAGAGCACTTTTGAGCCTCTAGTTAAATGGCTTAACGATGTCGCTCTGAAGGATCAGATCTCCAAGGCTCAGGTGTCGGAAAGGTTAAGCAACTCCCCATGCGCTCTGGTAGCCGGTGTGTTTGGCTGGACCGGTAACATGGAGCGTCTGGCCATGTCGAATGCCCACCAGAAGGCCGACGATCCCCAACGCACATACTATCTTAACCAGAAGAAAACGCTTGAGATCAACCCCAGGCATCCTCTGATGCGCGAACTTCTGCGTCGTGTGGAGGCCGATGAAGCTGATGATACCGCCAAGGACATGGCCGTGATGATGTTCCGTACCGCCACCCTGCGATCGGGATACATGCTTCAGGAAACAGCTCAGTTCGCCGATAGCATCGAGCTGATGATGCGACAGACTTTGGGAGTCTCACAGGAGGAGCAAATCGATTTCGATGAAGATGAGGACGACGATACGGAGGAAACAAAGACGGAAAGCCAGGAGAACTCTACTGCCGAGGATGAAGAGGAGGATCAGCAGCACGACGAGCTTTAAGAGCTGTCCCATGATCCAGTCATATGCCCAAATAGTTTGTACATAGGAGTGTGGAGGTCAGACTGAGGTTAACCAACCACTTGCCGGGCGTTTGCGACTCATCAACATTACTTCCCGACATGTCTAGATTCTAAGTAAAGTAATTTCGTAGCTCACGTATCCACCATTGCAATTCGCCCAGAGAGCACTCCATAACACTGCAACATTCGGCTTCTTAATCGTTTTCCTTTTTCGAAAGCAAATGAAATATGTATTTATAAATATAATGTCTCTTACAAAATGAGTTCCACAAAAAATAAAGACAAAAAATAAATTAATTGCTTTAGACTTATAGGCCAGGCTGCCATTCGTTTCGGTCTGGCCACTAGGGAGGGTTCTGAATGATTCCATGGTGATTGAAAAACATTCAGATGTAATACGTGATCAGTCCAAGTCCGAGCACAGTGGTTCATCGTTCAAGGCCTTCATATATGAACTGTACTTCATTTGATCCCTAATCTGGCACACAGCCTCTGAACGCGACAACTTATAGGTGTCCATAAAAAGACGGAGGATCCAGAGGGGCAGCATACCGTTGATTAACAGGGATGTGTGGGCCTAATGAGCGGACGGGAAGATAGTTCGTGTATTTCGTGTATAAGAGTGAGCCCCCGTGCTTTTACTTACGCTCCGCTTGCTGTAGCTCTCAGCTAGCTTTTTTATCATGGTTTCGTGGATGCTTTTGTTAAGAATATCCATGATATGCATATGATCAATGCTCATGTAGCTTGTGGTGTGGTGTTTGTTCTGGCGCTCTTTGAACAAGGTGTCGAAGTCGCTTTTGTAAGTGTCAAAGGTATCGAGAACATCTTGTTCGCTCATATTTTCCAACAGTCTATGATTATGTACACATCCAAGTTTAAGGCCTGGTTTAAATTCTTTATTTCAAAATACAAAAACTTACAAAATCTCAACTTCACGCGGCTTCGGAATGTCCAGAATGCTGTCCAGCCGCTGAAGAGCATCAAAGTGAGCGACATCCATTTGCTCCACTTTTGACTCTGTCGTTGGCAAGGGAGATGTTGCTTTCTTGGGTTTGGGTTTGGAGGCCTTCTTTTCTGGCTTGGATCTGCGAGAAGTCGCATCTCTGAAAAACCACCCGAACATCAATTAATAAAAAGTACTGCAAATAAACTTATTTCATGGTGTCCTACCCCACGACGAAGTTTTTGAAGCGCCCAGGGCGAATGGGTGATCGGACAGACCGACGAGCGGGCTTAGGCTCTGCGGAGCTGGCTCTAGAGCTCCTGAAAGAAAAGAAACTTTTATTCGTTCCACAAAGTAAGAATGACTCTTATGTGTATTCACCTCTTTGGAGGAGTTGGCTTCACATTTTCTTGCCGAGAATCAAGTCCATTGACTAAAGACTTTTTAGTTCCACTACCTTGGGAAATCGATCTCCTTTCGCGTTTATTTTTGGAAGGCACTAGGCTCTCTGCAGGTACTTCATCCTCGTCGTCGTCGGCATCGATGTGTTTAGGTCTCGACCGTTTTGCATTGACACTAAAAGAAATTGGGTTTTCAATAAAATTTTTAACGTATTGGCATTCATTTAAATTACAACTATGCTATAGTGCTTGATTATTCTTCAATAGTTTTCTTCGATCCAACTTGCGCAAGACTTACCGAGTCTTTGCTGACCTTGGTCTGTTGCTACTGGAGCCATTGGGAGGTGCTTCCGTGGCATGCCTACGCTTGGTTGTGTGAACTCCCAAAATGGCGGTATTTTCATATGTTATATACTGCAGCTGAAGCTCAAGGTTGAGATCCTCCGGTGTGATTTCAAAGCCAGCTGAAAGAGTATGTGCGGCAGGATGCGGCTTCTCGGTGGCCTGGACACGGACATTAATGTGATCGATCAGCAATTCTGTGTTTAACTTCTGGGCATCCTTCCACTGAGCCAGGTTTTCCAACATCAGCCACAGGCCACTCTCGATCCTGGTCCATCGGTCGGCCGTCATCCAGTGAAAGTCATTCCTAGATTCCCGCTCAAAATGGGTCACAGGTGTTGGAAGCACTTTGACATTGCATACGACGCGGTGCGTCTTGTACTGAAATTGTAAACAGTTAAGGAAACTAGTCGTTGTATTTTTTAAGAGATAATACTTTGTAAATCTGGGAAACCAATTGACAATCACCGGTGGCGGAAAAAGACATTTTTATAAAACTATAGGGATGTTGAAACTATTTATTTATATCGAATTTCGATATATTTCAGGGCTGCCGAAATTATGTTTTTCGATAGTACTAAGATTTAAACAAGAAATCGAAAAAAAATTTTGAAAATTTTTTTAAAATAGTGTTTCAACAAAATAATAATGCATCCTGATGTAACCATCGTATATATTATTAAGTAGTTATATCCATATATTTAATAATGTTGGTGTTACTATGACTATCGATACTGTAATTGTCTATCGATAGAAACCTAAATGGCGCGTAATTAGAATTTCAATTTGCAAGCTTTTTAATAAAAACTGTTTCTTAAAACTTCAAAAGATATAAAAAGCTTAAGAAACAATTAAAAATTTAACAATTAATTCTTTGTGTTATTTAAAAATGAACTTATTTACAAGTGAAATATTGAACTAATATTTTTGAATATAATTGCAATATATAATGTGTACAATTTATCAACGAGGTTTTTGTAAATCTTTAAAAGCAGAAATGAACACTGTCATTTTTATTAGTGAGCGTGATTCGAGAATTCTCAAGAGAAACCAGAAAAAAGAACGAATTCTATACTAACAAGTTCTTATCAGAATTCTTATTTAAACTAAGTCTAGTTTCATGCGAGCCGTCATTTATCACCGATTTTTTTTCCGAATAGGCCATAGCAACTTAGTTGTTAATCTTGCTTTGAATTAAACAGTCGATCCATAGTTGAGCATAAGGCTTTGATTACTCGGAAAAGTTGGTTATTTGTCGAAAAATGTTTTTAGTCATGAGTCACCTCAGGGTTTCCATGCTCTGGGGATTAATTTACATCCTTGTTGGCTTTTATATCTTGGATTGCAAAGCCAAGAGTGTCGGTGATACAAACAACAGTGAAAATGCAATTAAAGACGACTCAGTGGAGTACCTAAAATCTTATGGGGAGAAAATGAGATCTTACATGAATTTTAGCGTGGAGCCCTGTGTTGATTTTTACGAATACGCCTGTGGAAATTGGAAAAACGTACGTCAGGATCGCTTCCATTCCAACCACAGGAAAAACAACGTTATGGATATAGTCTTCACCCTGCGCGACGAAGTAGAGAAGCTCTTGACCAACACAATGTTGGCCCAGGCACTCAACGTTTCTTCGGAACTGTTGGTTGCGCAACAGTTCTATAACACGTGTCTCTCGGCGGTGGTGTTTCCGTTTCCAGCCGCTGATCCCGCTTATCTGGAGCTTATCAGGTCCGTAGGCGGTTTTCCTGCGGTCGACGGGCTAGCATGGAATGCCTCTAGCTTTAGCTGGTTTAATATGAGCGCCCATCTTACTAATTTCGGGGTCAAAGGGCTGATCAACGAGTTTATTATGTCCCAGTACCCCTTTGGACCGTATTTTAAATTGCCGGAACTGGGGCTTGATCACATCGTCCAGACGGATAACATAGCCAACAATTCCTCTCGAGCCTACAAGCTAAACGAGAATCGGATGCAGAGGTATCTGCAAGCCTATAATCTCACGGAGGGCCAGATTTCGGAAGTGATTGCTGGCGTTTTTGACTTCTGGCGTGACGCACTCGCAGTTGCGGATAAATTTGATGGCGATTTCGAGAAATGCATAATAATTTCAGAAGATAAAAACGTGCCAAAATATGATCAGTGGGATAGCTACTATGACATTGCATGGAATGGGGTATTTGATTCTAACTGGTTCGGAAATAAAGAATATTGCAGCTACTATTACGAACTGTTGGAGAAAGTGTGCTTAAAGCACCCAGAGGCTGTGGCAAACTATCTGGCCATGCTTCTGTTATATAAAATGGATGCCGGATTGAAGGACGAGAAGTATCACAAGGATTACTGCCTCTCGACAGTGCAAAGTGGCTTTGAATATTTATTTGACAAGCTCTACATGGCGGTAAGTTATCAGAAACAAGAAAGGAAGGAAAATTTCGGATTCGGGTGGAGCCGAAATTAATATACCCTTGCAGTTAAGATGGGGTATATATCGCATATATCGAATATAGTTGGCCGATCCTTATGAAAATTACATAATAAAACCATTAGAATAAATATTTTTATCATTTCGATGTATCATTTTCGATAGTTCAGTTATACGGCAGCTATAAGATAAAGGCGGTTGAAGTTTAAAACTGAGAGGCTAGTTCGCGTAGGAACAGACTAACAGACTGTTCAAGCATTGAACACTATTTTTTATAGAAATTCTTAAGTTAGAGTTTCAAGGGATCGGACCCATGAAATACGAGTCAAACAGCATGGTTTAAAACCGATCCCCTGCAGCCTAACACAAACACATACTTAAGTGGTGCGCTTATCGCACTTGAGAAAGGGTCGCATAGCAGGTCAGCGTGCAGTGCGTTGACAAGTAGTTTTAAATAGTTTTAAGATTCCCATCTATCGTACTTATAAGAGAACTTTATCAAATAAAATCAGTTTCCATAAGGAGCTCATTGGAGTAAGACCTATTATTTAGGGCTCCTCTTAACACAGACTGACAGACAGACAGTCGGACATGCTTATATCAATGTCGGATAGTTACCGACAGCTTAAAGTAAGATGTCAGAGACTATTAGACTACATCAGTGGTCGGCACGGCCCTATCCCGCGGGCATAGGAAATTTTTCTGCCACACAGACAGTATAAATGTGTGAAACGTCATGCTCACAGACTACTTTCTGCTTTTCGTTACTAATACTAATGCGTTAAAATCGTAGCAATGTATTGAGTGCCCATCAGTGGACTAGATATAGGTTAGTAATAATAATATTGCTTTATGTTTAAAATGAATTTACAATATTTACAATTACCAATATTTAAAAAATAATTTATAATTTTTAATGAGAATATCATGAATATAAAAATATTTTCCATTTTACAGCATTTTAAAGACCGAACTCGTTCAGAAGTAGCTGATATTATACAGGAGCTACGCAATAACCAAAGGAAAATGCTTGAGAAAGTCGAATGGTTGGACCCGGAGACTCGGCAGGAGGCACTGCTCAAAGAGTCCTCCATCGAATCTGTAATTGGTAACTATAAAAACTATAAGGTAACTGACCGCTTGATTCAAGAAATTAATGGTCTGGAGTTGGAGGATAGAAGCTATTCCCAGAGTATGATCCAGATACAAAAATTAGTCACCCACGTGAGCCGTTTCGGTGGACTCCACCACGAGGAACTGCAGGAGGATGCCAAGCCTTTGAGAGTCTTTTTGGGCATGCAAGTGAATGCCTTTTATAACAACCTTGATAGCTCCATTTATGTTATGGCTGGCATACTGCATCCACCAGCATATCATCCTGACTGGCCCAATTCTCTGAAATTTGGTACTTTGGGCTACCTAGTGGGTCACGAGTTAACCCACGGCTTTGATACTACCGGCGCTATGTTCAACAGTAATGGTTATTTACGCAACTGGTGGTCAAAGAAGTCTAGGGCGGTTTTTGAGGAGCGGGCAATGTGTTTTGTGGACCACTACGACCGCTATCTTATACCTGAGATTAATCGTCACATCAATGGCAAAGAGACCCAGGACGAAAACATCGCAGATAGCGGTGGGTTGCAGGGTGCCTTTGATGCATATCGCAACCACATGAAACAGTTAAAGAATATAAGCTATGAGGACAACGATATCCTAAAAAGCGAACAAATGCCCGGGCTGGATCTATCGCCAGAACAGCTTTTCTTTCTCGGTTTTGCACAGACGATGTGTGCGGACTTCGAGGAGGAACATTATTGGGAAGAGTTAGCCAAAGAACACACCATTGACAAGTATCGTGTCTTGGGGGCAATCTCTAACAATCATGATTTTTCTCAAGTCTATAATTGCCCCTCCGGCAGTCCAATGAATCCCCAAAATTCTTGCCGCATTTGGTAATCTTCCTTAACTCGAACAATACATTCTATATTTTATAGAAATTTTATTTCTTTTCACTGTTAAATAATTTCATAAAACATCATTAATAAAATTGTATGGGAAATAATTGTTTTATTTGTATTGATGTTCATTGTAAACTATTGTAAACATGAACTGTAATTATTTTTAAAGTAAACTATTTGATTAAAATTTTATATTTTTTTAATTTGGTAAAATGCCATAAGAAGTTTATTATTTAAATATTAAAAAACAGAAAAATTGGAACACTTAAAGTAACAGTTTTTTTGTTTCTTGTCTTATCAAAGGTAATGCTTAGCTTAGGTCAAGTCTGAGAGGAACCCGCGATTAATCTTGGACCTGCTTGCCAAAGTCTGACCCACCAGCTTATTCGTTAATCGTGCTCTCAACTAAACAGTCGATCCCTCGTGGGCGCTTAAGCTTTAAGTTACCAAACCTAGATTAACGCTGAAAATGTCTTCAAACATGAGTCGCCTCACATTTGCCATATATTGCGTAATTTTGTGCATTCTTGTTGGCACCTATTTCTACAAGTGTAAGTCTAGGAGTGTGGGTGATTCAAAGAGCAGTGAAAATTTAATTATAGAAGACACTAAGGAGTATCTCAAATCCTATGGCGAAAAAATGAAATCTTACATGAATCTTAGCGTGGCACCTTGTGATGACTTTTACGAATACGCCTGCGGAAATTGGAAAAACGTACGTCCGGATCGTTTCCGACCCAACCGCAAGAAAAACAACCTCTTAGATATTGATTTCACTCTCCGCGATGAGGTGGAGAAGCTCTTGACTAACACGAAGTTGGCCCAGGCACTGAACGTTTCTACGGAACTGCAGGTTGCGCAACAATTCTACAACGCGTGCCTCTCGGCGGTGGTGTTTCCGTTTCCAGCTGCTGATCCCGCTTATCTGGAGCTTATAAGGTCAATTGGTGGTTTCCCTGCCGTCGACGGAGCGGCATGGAATGCTTTTAGCTTCAGCTGGTTTAATATGAGCGCCCATCTAACGAATTTAGGAGTCAATGGGTTGATCCACGAGTTTATTGATTCGCAGTACCCCTTTGGACCGTATTTTAAGTTGCCAGAACTGGGGTTTGATCACACCGTCCAGACGGATAACATAGCCAACAATACCTCTCGAGCCTACAAGCTCAACGAGAAACGAATGCAAAGTTATCTTCAAGCCTATAATCTCACGGAGGACAAGATTTCGGAGGTGATCGCTGGGGTTTTTGACTTCTGGCGTGACGCTCTCGCAGTTGCGGATAGATTTGATCGCGATATTGAGAAATGCGAACAGATTTCTGAAAACGAAAATGTGCCCAAGTATCAACAGTGGCAGAGTTACTACGATATTGCATGGAACGGGCAAAACTTTTCTAGTGAGGGCGTAAATGAAGAATATTGCGACTACTACTACGAACAGTTGGAGAAAGTGTGCTCAAGACACCCAGAGGCTGTCGCAAACTATCTGGCGATGCTTCTGTTATATCGAATGGATGCGAAACTGAAGGAGGAGAAGTATCACAAGTATCACAAAAGTATAACCAGATTTTAGTACATATTGAGTTTTTACTCTGTCTGTGTCTACTGTGATTACTGTGTCTAATTTTTAAGGCTGTTTTAATTACATCCTCGTAAATATAAAAAGTATAAAAAACCTCTTGGCGACGAACGGATAAACTTTACATAACCGACTATATCACTAGTATTCGGAATTTCCCAGATTTATGGGATGCATACAAAATCTCAAGGTCGATTTTCAAAAACAATTTTAATTGAAAAAAAGAAAAAAAAATTGTACTTTTGTATATTTCTGTTCTTAAAGAAAGATAATTAGCCTTTAACCTTTCAAATGGTCAAATATTTATTAATATAGATTTTTTTACCTTTTTAGTAACAAAAATGTGTTTTTTCTTTGTATTTCTTTGCTCATTATAAAAATTTTAGTTTTAAAAAAATTTAAAAAGTTTTTTGTTTTAAAATAAAATAAAGTAAAATGTATTGTTTGAAGAGGACATATTTAACAAAAATTTTTGAATTACCAGGACACTTTTATCGACCAGACTCGCCCAGAATTATCTAATATTGTAAAGGAAGTTCGAAACAGCCTGAGGAACGCGCTGGAGGAAGTCGAGTGGCTAGACCCAAGGACTCGGCGGATGGCACTACTCAAAGAGTCCACCATTAAACCCATAATTGGTAGAAATAAAAACGAAGAGGTTACCAGTCGTCTGATCCAAGAAATCAATGAGCTGCAGTTGGAGGATAGGAGCTTCCCCCAGAGCATGATCCAGTTTAAAAAATTAATCACCCGCTGGCGCCGCTTCAATGGTTTGCACCACAAGGAACTCCCTAAGGACACGAAGCCACTGAATTATCTTTTGGGCATTCAAGTCAAAGCTTTTTATAGTCGCCGTTTAAACGCCATTCATGTGATGGCTGGAACATTGCATCCGCCTGTTTATCATCCCGAGTGGCCTAGTTCCTTAAAATTTGGTACTTTGGGGTTCTTGGTGGGCCATGAGTTAAGCCACGCCTTTGATACTGACGGTTTTAAGTTCCTCGATGAGGGATACATGGGTATTTTGTGGTTGTTATCCCGATCTCGAGCTATATTTATGCAGAGGGTAATGTGCTTTGTAAACCACTATAACAGCTACCACATACCGGAGATTAATCGCAATATCAACGGCAAAAGCACACAGGACGAAAACATTGCGGATAGCGGTGGGCTGAAGTATGCCCTCGATGCATATCGCAACCACATGAAACAGTTTAAGAATATAAGCGATGAGGACAACAAGACCCTAGAAAGCGAACAAATGCCCGGACTGGACCTATCGCCAGAACAGCTTTTCTTTCTCGGATTTGCCCAGCTCTGGTGCGCGGAATACGAGCAGGAAGATTATTGGGAAGAGTTGGCCGATGAACACACCATCGACAAGTTTCGCGTCTTGGGTGTAGTCTCCAACAGTCCTGATTTTGCCCAGGTGTATAGCTGCCCCGCTGGAAGCCCATTAAATCTTCAAGCGGATACATGCCGCATTTGGTAACCCTTCTTCAAATACATTGGAAGCAAGTCAGTATGAAACTCTCTAAAATTGTTAAATACTTTTTTTTAAATACCCAATAAAAAAATTATAAAAGATTTCAGAGTTGGTTCAACCATTTTTCTTTAACGGGCTTGGTACGTTTAAAAACAAAAAACGAAAGCTAGGCGGATTTTAGACGGTGCCAAAGATGATATACCCATAAGTTATGATTAGATATATATCGTAGATTTGGGATTTATTCATTTTGCTCTTAAAGGTTAGTTAGCCAGATTCAATTACGACGAAACCAAACGTTAGTATTTTTTTATATAGGTACTAATGGAAGAGAACAAATGCGACTTTTTGATTTGGTAGAGTAAACATTTTCCTAAGACAATATTCCGATAACTCACTGACAATAGTATGTAGCTGTTATGATACTTTTTTTTTTTTATTTTAGCATGTGAGAATTTTAAAAGTTGAAGATAAAGAAAAGAACAATTTTTTAAATAATATTTATTTGCCATTATATTTTCTACTTTAATGTAGAACTTAGTTTCTTTAATTTAAATTTTATCTATCCAGAGGATCAATATATAAAATCAAGTTCTTGAACGAAAATTCTCATTTTGCTTAATGAATATGCTTAATACATTTTATTGAGTCTATTTTCTTATCAGCGTAAATATTTAGCTTAGGTCAAGTCTGAGAGAGAGCCACGAACCACTTCGAACTGCTTGAAAAATAGTTCTAGCAGCTTAGTTCTTAATTGGGCTCTGAATTAAACAGTCGATCTTTTGGGCTTAAGGTTTTGTAAACACTGACTGTTGTGTTATTTGCCGTAAAATGTATTTAAATCTAAGTCGCCATAGAATACCCATGCTCTGTGTATTTGGTTACATTCTGGTTGGCTCTTATATCTTGGAGTGCAAAGCCAGGATTGTCGGTAATTCAAGCAATAGTGCAAATGTTATTAAAGACGACAGAGTGGAGTACCTCAAATCTTATGGGGAGAAAATGAGATCTTACATGAATCTTAGCGTGGCACCTTGTGATGACTTTTACGAATACGCCTGCGGAAATTGGAAAAATGTACGTCCGGATCGGTTCCAGTCCAACCACAGGAGAGACAATCTCTTAGATATTGTTTTCACACTGTTAAATGAAATTGAAAAGCTCTTGACAAACACGGAGTTGGCCCAAGCTCTCAACGTCTCTACGGAACTGCAGGTTGCGCAAAAATTCTACAACGCGTGCCTCTCGGCTGTGGTGTTTCCGTTTCCAGCCGCTGAACCCGCTTATCTGGAGCTTATCAGGTCCGTAGGCGGTTTTCCTGCTGTCGACGAAGCGGCATGGAATGCTTCTGGATTCAGCTGGTTTAATATGAGCGCCCATCTAACGAATTTAGGGGTCAATGGGTTGATCAACGAGTTTATTGATTCGCAGTACCCCTTTGGACCGTATTTTAAGTTGCCAGAACTGGGGTTTGATCACACCGTCCAGACGGATAACATAGCCAACAATACCTCTCGAGCCTACAAGCTCAACGAGAAACGAATGCAAAGTTATCTTCTAGCCTATGATCTCACGGAGGACAAGATCTCGGAGGTGATCGCTGGGGTTTTTGACTTCTGGCGTGACGCTCTCGCAGTTGCGGATAGATTTGATCGCGATATTGAGAAATGCGAACAGATTTCTGAAAACGAAAATGTGCCCAAGTATCAACAGTGGCAGAGTTACTACGATATTGCATGGAACGGGCAAAACTTTTCTAGTGAGGGCGTAAATGAAGAATATTGCGACTACTACTACGAACAGTTGGAGAAAGTGTGCTCAAAGAACCCAGAGGGTGTGGCAAACTATCTGGCCATGCTATTGTTATATACAATGGATGCAAAACTGAAGGGGGAGAAGTATCACAAGGATTACTGCCTCTCGACAGTGCAAAGTGGCTTTGCTTTTTTATTTGACAAGCTCTACATGATGGTAAGTTTGCAGCGAAATTTTATACTAAAAGTATAACCAGATTTTAGTACATATTGAGTTTTTACTCTGTCTGTGTCTACTGTGATTACTGTGTCTAATTTTTAAGGCTGTTTTAATTACATCCTCGTAAATATAAAAAGTATAAAAAACCTCTTGGCGACGAACGGATAAACTTTACATAACCGACTATATCACTAGTATTCGGAATTTCCCAGATTTATGGGATGCATACAAAATCTCAAGGTCGATTTTCAAAAACAATTTTAATTGAAAAAAAGAAAAAAAAATTGTACTTTTGTATATTTCTGTTCTTAAAGAAAGATAATTAGCCTTTAACCTTTCAAATGGTCAAATATTTATTAATATAGATTTTTTTACCTTTTTAGTAACAAAAATGTGTTTTTTCTTTGTATTTCTTTGCTCATTATAAAAATTTTAGTTTTAAAAAAATTTAAAAAGTTTTTTGTTTTAAAATAAAATAAAGTAAAATGTATTGTTTGAAGAGGACATATTTAACAAAAATTTTTGAATTACCAGGACACTTTTATCGACCAGACTCGCCCAGAATTATCTAATATTGTAAAGGAAGTTCGAAACAGCCTGAGGAACGCGCTGGAGGAAGTCGAGTGGCTAGACCCAAGGACTCGGCGGATGGCACTACTCAAAGAGTCCACCATTAAACCCATAATTGGTAGAAATAAAAACGAAGAGGTTACCAGTCGTCTGATCCAAGAAATCAATGAGCTGCAGTTGGAGGATAGGAGCTTCCCCCAGAGCATGATCCAGTTTAAAAAATTAATCACCCGCTGGCGCCGCTTCAATGGTTTGCACCACAAGGAACTCCCTAAGGACACGAAGCCACTGAATTATCTTTTGGGCATTCAAGTCAAAGCTTTTTATAGTCGCCGTTTAAACGCCATTCATGTGATGGCTGGAACATTGCATCCGCCTGTTTATCATCCCGAGTGGCCTAGTTCCTTAAAATTTGGTACTTTGGGGTTCTTGGTGGGCCATGAGTTAAGCCACGCCTTTGATACTGACGGTTTTAAGTTCCTCGATGAGGGATACATGGGTATTTTGTGGTTGTTATCCCGATCTCGAGCTATATTTATGCAGAGGGTAATGTGCTTTGTAAACCACTATAACAGCTACCACATACCGGAGATTAATCGCAATATCAACGGCAAAAGCACACAGGACGAAAACATTGCGGATAGCGGTGGGCTGAAGTATGCCCTCGATGCATATCGCAACCACATGAAACAGTTTAAGAATATAAGCGATGAGGACAACAAGACCCTAGAAAGCGAACAAATGCCCGGACTGGACCTATCGCCAGAACAGCTTTTCTTTCTCGGATTTGCCCAGCTCTGGTGCGCGGAATACGAGCAGGAAGATTATTGGGAAGAGTTGGCCGATGAACACACCATCGACAAGTTTCGCGTCTTGGGTGTAGTCTCCAACAGTCCTGATTTTGCCCAGGTGTATAGCTGCCCCGCTGGAAGCCCATTAAATCTCCAAGCGGATACATGCCGCATTTGGTAACCCTTCTTCAAATACATTGGAAGCAAGTCAGTATGAAACTCTCTAAAATTGTTAAATACTTTTTTTTAAATACCCAATAAAAAAATTATAAAAGATTTCAGAGTTGGTTCAACCATTTTTCTTTAACGGGCTTGATACGTTTAAAAACAAAAAACGAAAGCTAGGCGGATTTTAGACGGTGCCAAAGATGATATACCCATAAGTTATGATTAGATATATATCGTAGATTTGGGATTTATTCATTTTGCTCTTAAAGGTTAGTTAGCCAGATTCAATTACGACGAAACCAAACGTTAGTATTTTTTTATATAGGTACTAATGGAAGAGAACAAATGCGACTTTTTGATTTGGTAGAGTAAACATTTTCCTAAGACAATATTCCGATAACTCACTGACAATAGTATGTAGCTGTTATGATACTTTTTTTTTTTTATTTTAGCATGTGAGAATTTTAAAAGTTGAAGATAAAGAAAAGAACAATTTTTTAAATAATATTTATTTGCCATTATATTTTCTACTTTAATGTAGAACTTAGTTTCTTTAATTTAAATTTTATCTATCCAGAGGATCAATATATAAAATCAAGTTCTTGAACGAAAATTCTCATTTTGCTTAATGAATATGCTTAATACATTTTATTGAGTCTATTTTCTTATCAGCGTAAATATTTAGCTTAGGTCAAGTCTGAGAGAGAGCCACGAACCACTTCGAACTGCTTGAAAAATAGTTCTAGCAGCTTAGTTCTTAATTGGGCTCTGAATTAAACAGTCGATCTTTTGGGCTTAAGGTTTTGTAAACACTGACTGTTGTGTTATTTGCCGTAAAATGTATTTAAATCTAAGTCGCCATAGAATACCCATGCTCTGTGTATTTGGTTACATTCTGGTTGGCTCTTATATCTTGGAGTGCAAAGCCAGGATTGTCGGTAATTCAAGCAATAGTGCAAATGTTATTAAAGACGACAGAGTGGAGTACCTCAAATCTTATGGGGAGAAAATGAGATCTTACATGAATCTTAGCGTGGCACCTTGTGATGACTTTTACGAATACGCCTGCGGAAATTGGAAAAATGTACGTCCGGATCGGTTCCAGTCCAACCACAGGAGAGACAATCTCTTAGATATTGTTTTCACACTGTTAAATGAAATTGAAAAGCTCTTGACAAACACGGAGTTGGCCCAAGCTCTCAACGTCTCTACGGAACTGCAGGTTGCGCAAAAATTCTACAACGCGTGCCTCTCGGCTGTGGTGTTTCCGTTTCCAGCCGCTGAACCCGCTTATCTGAAGCTAATCAGGTCCGTAGGCGGTTTTTCAAAGAACCCAGAGGGTGTGGCAAACTATCTGGCCATGCTATTGTTATATACAATGGATGCAAAACTGAAGGGGGAGAAGTATCACAAGGATTACTGCCTCTCGATGGTGCGTTTCAGCTTTCCCCATCTCCTTAACAAACTTTACATGGCGGTAAGTTGTTTAGGGGTGAAAATATGTTTATGAGCCGAAGTTGGTATACCCTTGCAGTTAAGATCAGATTTATATCGCAAATATTAAATTTAGTTGGACGATCTCTATGAGATTTTCATAGTAAAAAGACAATTTTCATAGTTTCATTTTATTAGAATACCAAATTTATTTAAATTACCAATCTTCTATCTTTATATGGCAGCTATAAGATATAGTCAGCCGATCATCATGAATTTTGAAACAGACAGATGGACTGATGTTTATTTTTTTTTTGTTCTTTCATTAGAGTCCTTATTCAGAGTAGATAATAATAAAATTAGATCATGAAACCTTAAAATGCTAGGAAATTGAATTTAGTTAAACAGAAGCTCCATCCTCTATCCGGAGATAAAGTGGATGCGTCCGCTTTAATCTTCTGATGCTGGCCCAATCTGCCCACATACCTGGTGACAAACCATTGAACATCGCTGCTGACTTAAGGTATTTTCAGTTGGGTGTGGGTGACAGTGTTTTTGTGGTATGGATGGGCCCCGGACACCATCCTGAGCGCCCTATTTTACGTTAGTTGGTCAAGTCTGCGGTTAATAGGGCTCGATTGAAAATCCCCACCAGCATCTGAATACCGACATGAGGAAAGAGGTTGGTGGCAATTACCTCTATACCATCGAAGCCAGACGATTTCTTGATGTGGAGGCCGATGATCTCCTCCTTGACCTTCTCCTGAGTGACAGAGTCCGCCTGTGTGAAGTCGGAGCTCGGTTTGACCAGCAATTGCTCTGTTTCAGCTAAGTCTTCTTTCTAGCACGTGTTAAAAGGGGTCAATATATTGCCCCAAAGATTGGGGAACTTTCTGGCCTTTTCAAGTTTAGCTCGAGCAGCAGCGCTGGTGTTGGGTTGGTCATCCGCATTAATCCTTTTGACTTTGCCTATTGAATTCGCCGGAGTTGCAGGAATCGCTAGAGTCGTCGCAGGTGATTTTGATATTGGCTTTAGGAGAGCGGGGTGGGGCTTACCAATTCATCGTGTTGATATTGTTTTTCTCGAATTGGCCGCAAGTTTCTATATAAATGTGTTTTTTTTTTATAATTATTATTATTTTATTATTATTATTTCAATTTGATTTTATTTATTTAATTTGTTTTTTTACAAACAGTAGAAACGAAACGTTAAGTTGCCTGGTTCATATATACGGTTCATATACTATAATGATGTTAATAATTACATATTTTAATACCCTCTGCAAGGGTATAAGCCACGGAATAGTTTTCTAACATCAATATTATAGTTATTTTTTATTTTCTTGTTTTAAACTGAAATAAAAAGGAAAAATATATTATTCAAAAGAATATTTTTATAAAAAGCAGTTTCGAATCCTCAGGATCAGTTTAACGAACGGACTCGCTCAGAAGTATATGCTATTGTACAGGAAGTTCGTAATAGCCAGAGGAAGGCGCTGGAGAAAGTCGAATGGTTGGACCCCGAGACCCGACGGGAGGCACAGCTAAAGGAGTCCACCATTGAATCTATTATTGGAAGCTACGAAAACGAAGAGATTACCACACGTATGATCCAAGAAATCCGCGGCTTGGACTTGAAGGAAGCGAGCTACCCCCAGAGCTTGATCCACCTACGAAAACTGGTTACCCGCTTGCGACGTTTTAATGGATTTCACTACGAGGAACTGCATAACGAATCCAAGCCCCTGGATTTTCTTTTGGGCATGCAGGTGAATGCCTTTTATTACAACCTTGATAACTCCATTTATGTGATGGCTGGCATTTTGCATCCACCTGCTTATCATCCTGACTGGCCCAATTCTCTGAAACTTGGTACTTTGGGCTACCTGATGGGCCACGAGCTAACCCACGGCTTTGACACTATGGGCTCCAACTTCGACAGTGAAGGGGAAATGCGCAACTGGTGGTCAAAGAAGTCTCGAGGTGTTTTTGAGGAGCGGGCAATGTGTTTTGTGGACTACTACGACCGCTATTTAATACCTGAGATTAATAGGAACATCAACGGCAAAGGGACCCAGGACGAAAACATCGCGGATAGCGGTGGGCTGCAGGGTGCCCTTGATGCATATCGAAACCAAATGAAACAGTTGAAGAATAGAAGCGAGGGGGCCAACGCGACCCTAGAAAGCGAAAAAATGCCCGGACTGGATCTGTCGCCAGAACAGCTTTTCTTTCTCGGATTTGCCCAGCTATGGTGTGCGGATTACGAGCAGGAACATTATTGGGAAGAGTTAGGCAAGGAACACACCATCGACAAGTACCGTGTCTTGGGCGCAGTCTCCAACAATCATGATTTTTCTCAGGTCTTTAATTGCCCCTCCGGCAGTCCAATGAATCCCAAAAATTCTTGCCGCATTTGGTAATCTACTTTAATTTACCTTAAACAATACATTCTAAACATTGTAGGATGAAATTTTATTTCTTTTCACTGTTAGAATCTGTACTTAAACTTTATTAATAAAATATAATATTAATCGGGAAAATCGTTTACAAATTAAAAAAAAAAAAAAAAACAAGAAAGGAAAGCTAACTTCGGGCGGAGCCGAAGTTTATATACCCTTGCAGCTAAAACCGGATATATATCGCAAACATCGGATATAGTTGGCCGATCCTTATGAAATTTGGTAGGTTGGATCAGTTGAAAAAAAATATAATCTGTATTAAGTTCCAGATTTTTATCTTCAAAAACACGAAAGTTGGGTCATTTCCGATCGTTCAGTTATATGGCAGCTATAGGATATAGTCGGCCGATCATAATGAAATTTGGCATGTCGTATTATTTTGCCAAAAATAGCTCTCATGTCAAATTTGAACTCTCTAACTTTAAAAAAACCAAAGTTATACCATTTCCGATCAATCAGTTATATGGCAGCTATAGGATATAGTCGGCCGATCTCAGTCGTTCCGACTTATATACTGCGTGCAAAAGATAGAAGGGTGTGTGCAAAGTTTCAAGTCGATAGCTTTAAAACTAAGAGACTAGTTCGCGTAGAAACAGACAGACGGACAGACAGACAGACGGACAGACGGACAGACGGAAAGACGGACAGACGGACAGACGGACATGCTCATATCAACTCAGGAGGTGATCCTGATCAAGAATATATATACTTTATAGGGTCGGAGATGTCTCCTTCACTGCGTTGCACACTTTTGACCAAAATTATAATACCCTCTGCAAGGGTATAAAAAATACAAACCTTTTCATCAGTGAGCCTCTTTGGAAAAAGATGGCGTTTATTTTCTTATCAAAGGTAATGTTTAGCTTAGGTCAAGTCTGAGAGGAAGCCGCGATTAATCTCGGACCTGCTTGCAAAGTCTGACCTATCAGCTTATTTGTTAATCGTTCTCTGAATTAAACAGTCGATCCCTTGTTGGCGCTTAAGTTTTAAGTTACCAAACCTAGATTAACGCTGATTCGCCCTAAAATGTTTTCAAACCTGAGTCGCCTCAAAGTTACCATATTCTGCATAATTTTGTACATTCTTGTTGGCACCTATTTCTTTGAGTGTAAAGCCAGCAGTGTCGGTGATTCAAGCAGCAGTAAAAATTTAATTAAAGACGACACTGAGGAGTATCTCAAATCCTATGGCGAAAAAATGAAATCTTACATGAATCTTAGCGTGGCACCTTGTGATGACTTTTACGAATACGCCTGCGGAAATTGGAAGAACGTACGTCCAGATCGTTTCCAGTCCAACCACAAGAAAAACAACCTCTTAGATATTGATTTCACTCTCCGCGATGAGGTGGAGAAGCTCTTGACTAACACGAAGTTGGCCCAGGCACTGAACGTTTCTACGGAACTGCAGGTTGCGCAACAATTCTACAACGCGTGCCTCTCGGCGGTGGTGTTTCCGTTTCCAGCTGCTGATCCCGCTTATCTGGAGCTTATAAGGTCAATTGGTGGTTTCCCTGCCGTCGACGGAGCGGCATGGAATGCTTTTAGCTTCAGCTGGTTTAATATGAGCGCCCATCTAACGAATTTAGGAGTCAATGGGTTGATCCACGAGTTTATTGATTCGCAGTACCCCTTTGGACCGTATTTTAAGTTGCCAGAACTGGGGTTTGATCACACCGTCCAGACGGATAACATAGCCAACAATACCTCTCGAGCCTACAAGCTCAACGAGAAACGAATGCAAAGTTATCTTCAAGCCTATAATCTCACGGAGGACAAGATTTCGGAGGTGATCGCTGGGGTTTTTGACTTCTGGCGTGACGCTCTCGCAGTTGCGGATAGATTTGATCGCGATATTGAGAAATGCGAACAGATTTCTGAAAACGAAAATGTGCCCAAGTATCAACAGTGGCAGAGTTACTACGATATTGCATGGAACGGGCAAAACTTTTCTAGTGAGGGCGTAAATGAAGAATATTGCGACTACTACTACGAACAGTTGGAGAAAGTGTGCTCAAGACACCCAGAGGCTGTCGCAAACTATCTGGCGATGCTTCTGTTATATCGAATGGATGCGAAACTGAAGGAGGAGAAGTATCACAAGTATCACAAAAGTATAACCAGATTTTAGTACATATTGAGTTTTTACTCTGTCTGTGTCTACTGTGATTACTGTGTCTAATTTTTAAGGCTGTTTTAATTACATCCTCGTAAATATAAAAAGTATAAAAAACCTCTTGGCGACGAACGGATAAACTTTACATAACCGACTATATCACTAGTATTCGGAATTTCCCAGATTTATGGGATGCATACAAAATCTCAAGGTCGATTTTCAAAAACAATTTTAATTGAAAAAAGAAAAAAAATTGTACTTTTGTATATTTCTGTTCTTAAAGAAAGATAATTAGCCTTTAACCTTTCAAATGGTCAAATATTTATTAATATAGATTTTTTACCTTTTTAGTAACAAAAATGTGTTTTTTCTTTGTATTTCTTTGCTCATTATAAAAATTTTAGTTTTAAAAAAATTTAAAAAGTTTTTTGTTTTAAAATAAAATAAAGTAAAATGTATTGTTTGAAGAGGACATATTTAACAAAAATTTTTGAATTACCAGGACACTTTTATCGACCAGACTCGCCCAGAATTATCTAATATTGTAAAGGAAGTTCGAAACAGCCTGAGGAACGCGCTGGAGGAAGTCGAGTGGCTAGACCCAAGGACTCGGCGGATGGCACTACTCAAAGAGTCCACCATTAAACCCATAATTGGTAGAAATAAAAACGAAGAGGTTACCAGTCGTCTGATCCAAGAAATCAATGAGCTGCAGTTGGAGGATAGGAGCTTCCCCCAGAGCATGATCCAGTTTAAAAAATTAATCACCCGCTGGCGCCGCTTCAATGGTTTGCACCACAAGGAACTCCCTAAGGACACGAAGCCACTGAATTATCTTTTGGGCATTCAAGTCAAAGCTTTTTATAGTCGCCGTTTAAACGCCATTCATGTGATGGCTGGAACATTGCATCCGCCTGTTTATCATCCCGAGTGGCCTAGTTCCTTAAAATTTGGTACTTTGGGGTTCTTGGTGGGCCATGAGTTAAGCCACGCCTTTGATACTGACGGTTTTAAGTTCCTCGATGAGGGATACATGGGTATTTTGTGGTTGTTATCCCGATCTCGAGCTATATTTATGCAGAGGGTAATGTGCTTTGTAAACCACTATAACAGCTACCACATACCGGAGATTAATCGCAATATCAACGGCAAAAGCACACAGGACGAAAACATTGCGGATAGCGGTGGGCTGAAGTATGCCCTCGATGCATATCGCAACCACATGAAACAGTTTAAGAATATAAGCGATGAGGACAACAAGACCCTAGAAAGCGAACAAATGCCCGGACTGGACCTATCGCCAGAACAGCTTTTCTTTCTCGGATTTGCCCAGCTCTGGTGCGCGGAATACGAGCAGGAAGATTATTGGGAAGAGTTGGCCGATGAACACACCATCGACAAGTTTCGCGTCTTGGGTGTAGTCTCCAACAGTCCTGATTTTGCCCAGGTGTATAGCTGCCCCGCTGGAAGCCCATTAAATCTTCAAGCGGATACATGCCGCATTTGGTAACCCTTCTTCAAATACATTGGAAGCAAGTCAGTATGAAACTCTCTAAAATTGTTAAATACTTTTTTTTAAATACCCAATAAAAAAATTATAAAAGATTTCAGAGTTGGTTCAACCATTTTTCTTTAACGGGCTTGGTACGTTTAAAAACAAAAAACGAAAGCTAGGCGGATTTTAGACGGTGCCAAAGATGATATACCCATAAGTTATGATTAGATATATATCGTAGATTTGGGATTTATTCATTTTGCTCTTAAAGGTTAGTTAGCCAGATTCAATTACGACGAAACCAAACGTTAGTATTTTTTTATATAGGTACTAATGGAAGAGAACAAATGCGACTTTTTGATTTGGTAGAGTAAACATTTTCCTAAGACAATATTCCGATAACTCACTGACAATAGTATGTAGCTGTTATGATACTTTTTTTTTTTTATTTTAGCATGTGAGAATTTTAAAAGTTGAAGATAAAGAAAAGAACAATTTTTTAAATAATATTTATTTGCCATTATATTTTCTACTTTAATGTAGAACTTAGTTTCTTTAATTTAAATTTTATCTATCCAGAGGATCAATATATAAAATCAAGTTCTTGAACGAAAATTCTCATTTTGCTTAATGAATATGCTTAATACATTTTATTGAGTCTATTTTCTTATCAGCGTAAATATTTAGCTTAGGTCAAGTCTGAGAGAGAGCCACGAACCACTTCGAACTGCTTGAAAAATAGTTCTAGCAGCTTAGTTCTTAATTGGGCTCTGAATTAAACAGTCGATCTTTTGGGCTTAAGGTTTTGTAAACACTGACTGTTGTGTTATTTGCCGTAAAATGTATTTAAATCTAAGTCGCCATAGAATACCCATGCTCTGTGTATTTGGTTACATTCTGGTTGGCTCTTATATCTTGGAGTGCAAAGCCAGGATTGTCGGTAATTCAAGCAATAGTGCAAATGTTATTAAAGACGACAGAGTGGAGTACCTCAAATCTTATGGGGAGAAAATGAGATCTTACATGAATCTTAGCGTGGCACCTTGTGATGACTTTTACGAATACGCCTGCGGAAATTGGAAAAATGTACGTCCGGATCGGTTCCAGTCCAACCACAGGAGAGACAATCTCTTAGATATTGTTTTCACACTGTTAAATGAAATTGAAAAGCTCTTGACAAACACGGAGTTGGCCCAAGCTCTCAACGTCTCTACGGAACTGCAGGTTGCGCAAAAATTCTACAACGCGTGCCTCTCGGCTGTGGTGTTTCCGTTTCCAGCCGCTGAACCCGCTTATCTGGAGCTTATCAGGTCCGTAGGCGGTTTTCCTGCTGTCGACGAAGCGGCATGGAATGCTTCTGGATTCAGCTGGTTTAATATGAGCGCCCATCTAACGAATTTAGGGGTCAATGGGTTGATCAACGAGTTTATTGATTCGCAGTACCCCTTTGGACCGTATTTTAAGTTGCCAGAACTGGGGTTTGATCACACCGTCCAGACGGATAACATAGCCAACAATACCTCTCGAGCCTACAAGCTCAACGAGAAACGAATGCAAAGTTATCTTCTAGCCTATGATCTCACGGAGGACAAGATCTCGGAGGTGATCGCTGGGGTTTTTGACTTCTGGCGTGACGCACTCGCAATTGCGGATAGATTTGATCGCGATATTGAGAAATGCGAACAGATTTCTGAAAACGAAAATGTGCCCAAGTATCAACAGTGGCAGAGTTACTACGATATTGCATGGAACGGGCAAAACTTTTCTAGTGAGGGCGTAAATGAAGAATATTGCGACTACTACTACGAACAGTTGGAGAAAGTGTGCTCAAAGAACCCAGAGGGTGTGGCAAACTATCTGGCCATGCTATTGTTATATACAATGGATGCAAAACTGAAGGGGGAGAAGTATCACAAGGATTACTGCCTCTCGACAGTGCAAAGTGGCTTTGCTTTTTTATTTGACAAGCTCTACATGATGGTAAGTTTGCAGCGAAATTTTATACTAAAAGTATAACCAGATTTTAGTACATATTGAGTTTTTACTCTGTCTGTGTCTACTGTGATTACTGTGTCTAATTTTTAAGGCTGTTTTAATTACATCCTCGTAAATATAAAAAGTATAAAAAACCTCTTGGCGACGAACGGATAAACTTTACATAACCGACTATATCACTAGTATTCGGAATTTCCCAGATTTATGGGATGCATACAAAATCTCAAGGTCGATTTTCAAAAACAATTTTAATTGAAAAAAAGAAAAAAAAATTGTACTTTTGTATATTTCTGTTCTTAAAGAAAGATAATTAGCCTTTAACCTTTCAAATGGTCAAATATTTATTAATATAGATTTTTTTACCTTTTTAGTAACAAAAATGTGTTTTTTCTTTGTATTTCTTTGCTCATTATAAAAATTTTAGTTTTAAAAAAATTTAAAAAGTTTTTTGTTTTAAAATAAAATAAAGTAAAATGTATTGTTTGAAGAGGACATATTTAACAAAAATTTTTGAATTACCAGGACACTTTTATCGACCAGACTCGCCCAGAATTATCTAATATTGTAAAGGAAGTTCGAAACAGCCTGAGGAACGCGCTGGAGGAAGTCGAGTGGCTAGACCCAAGGACTCGGCGGATGGCACTACTCAAAGAGTCCACCATTAAACCCATAATTGGTAGAAATAAAAACGAAGAGGTTACCAGTCGTCTGATCCAAGAAATCAATGAGCTGCAGTTGGAGGATAGGAGCTTCCCCCAGAGCATGATCCAGTTTAAAAAATTAATCACCCGCTGGCGCCGCTTCAATGGTTTGCACCACAAGGAACTCCCTAAGGACACGAAGCCACTGAATTATCTTTTGGGCATTCAAGTCAAAGCTTTTTATAGTCGCCGTTTAAACGCCATTCATGTGATGGCTGGAACATTGCATCCGCCTGTTTATCATCCCGAGTGGCCTAGTTCCTTAAAATTTGGTACTTTGGGGTTCTTGGTGGGCCATGAGTTAAGCCACGCCTTTGATACTGACGGTTTTAAGTTCCTCGATGAGGGATACATGGGTATTTTGTGGTTGTTATCCCGATCTCGAGCTATATTTATGCAGAGGGTAATGTGCTTTGTAAACCACTATAACAGCTACCACATACCGGAGATTAATCGCAATATCAACGGCAAAAGCACACAGGACGAAAACATTGCGGATAGCGGTGGGCTGAAGTATGCCCTCGATGCATATCGCAACCACATGAAACAGTTTAAGAATATAAGCGATGAGGACAACAAGACCCTAGAAAGCGAACAAATGCCCGGACTGGACCTATCGCCAGAACAGCTTTTCTTTCTCGGATTTGCCCAGCTCTGGTGCGCGGAATACGAGCAGGAAGATTATTGGGAAGAGTTGGCCGATGAACACACCATCGACAAGTTTCGCGTCTTGGGTGTAGTCTCCAACAGTCCTGATTTTGCCCAGGTGTATAGCTGCCCCGCTGGAAGCCCATTAAATCTCCAAGCGGATACATGCCGCATTTGGTAACCCTTCTTCAAATACATTGGAAGCAAGTCAGTATGAAACTCTCTAAAATTGTTAAATACTTTTTTTAAATACCCAATAAAAAAATTATAAAAGATTTCAGAGTTGGTTCAACCATTTTTCTTTAACGGGCTTGATACGTTTAAAAACAAAAAACGAAAGCTAGGCGGATTTTAGACGGTGCCAAAGATGATATACCCATAAGTTATGATTAGATATATATCGTAGATTTGGGATTTATTCATTTTGCTCTTAAAGGTTAGTTAGCCAGATTCAATTACGACGAAACCAAACGTTAGTATTTTTTTATATAGGTACTAATGGAAGAGAACAAATGCGACTTTTTGATTTGGTAGAGTAAACATTTTCCTAAGACAATATTCCGATAACTCACTGACAATAGTATGTAGCTGTTATGATACTTTTTTTTTTATTTTAGCATGTGAGAATTTTAAAAGTTGAAGATAAAGAAAAGAACAATTTTTTAAATAATATTTATTTGCCATTATATTTTCTACTTTAATGTAGAACTTAGTTTCTTTAATTTAAATTTTATCTATCCAGAGGATCAATATATAAAATCAAGTTCTTGAACGAAAATTCTCATTTTGCTTAATGAATATGCTTAATACATTTTATTGAGTCTATTTTCTTATCAGCGTAAATATTTAGCTTAGGTCAAGTCTGAGAGAGAGCCACGAACCACTTCGAACTGCTTGAAAAATAGTTCTAGCAGCTTAGTTCTTAATTGGGCTCTGAATTAAACAGTCGATCTTTTGGGCTTAAGGTTTTGTAAACACTGACTGTTGTGTTATTTGCCGTAAAATGTATTTAAATCTAAGTCGCCATAGAATACCCATGCTCTGTGTATTTGGTTACATTCTGGTTGGCTCTTATATCTTGGAGTGCAAAGCCAGGATTGTCGGTAATTCAAGCAATAGTGCAAATGTTATTAAAGACGACAGAGTGGAGTACCTCAAATCTTATGGGGAGAAAATGAGATCTTACATGAATCTTAGCGTGGCACCTTGTGATGACTTTTACGAATACGCCTGCGGAAATTGGAAAAATGTACGTCCGGATCGGTTCCAGTCCAACCACAGGAGAGACAATCTCTTAGATATTGTTTTCACACTGTTAAATGAAATTGAAAAGCTCTTGACAAACACGGAGTTGGCCCAAGCTCTCAACGTCTCTACGGAACTGCAGGTTGCGCAAAAATTCTACAACGCGTGCCTCTCGGCTGTGGTGTTTCCGTTTCCAGCCGCTGAACCCGCTTATCTGAAGCTAATCAGGTCCGTAGGCGGTTTTTCAAAGAACCCAGAGGGTGTGGCAAACTATCTGGCCATGCTATTGTTATATACAATGGATGCAAAACTGAAGGGGGAGAAGTATCACAAGGATTACTGCCTCTCGATGGTGCGTTTCAGCTTTCCCCATCTCCTTAACAAACTTTACATGGCGGTAAGTTGTTTAGGGGTGAAAATATGTTTATGAGCCGAAGTTGGTATACCCTTGCAGTTAAGATCAGATTTATATCGCAAATATTAAATTTAGTTGGACGATCTCTATGAGATTTTCATAGTAAAAAGACAATTTTCATAGTTTCATTTTATTAGAATACCAAATTTATTTAAATTACCAATCTTCTATCTTTATATGGCAGCTATAAGATATAGTCAGCCGATCATCATGAATTTTGAAACAGACAGATGGACTGATGTTTATTTTTTTTTTGTTCTTTCATTAGAGTCCTTATTCAGAGTAGATAATAATAAAATTAGATCATGAAACCTTAAAATGCTAGGAAATTGAATTTAGTTAAACAGAAGCTCCATCCTCTATCCGGAGATAAAGTGGATGCGTCCGCTTTAATCTTCTGATGCTGGCCCAATCTGCCCACATACCTGGTGACAAACCATTGAACATCGCTGCTGACTTAAGGTATTTTCAGTTGGGTGTGGGTGACAGTGTTTTTGTGGTATGGATGGGCCCCGGACACCATCCTGAGCGCCCTATTTTACGTTAGTTGGTCAAGTCTGCGGTTAATAGGGCTCGATTGAAAATCCCCACCAGCATCTGAATACCGACATGAGGAAAGAGGTTGGTGGCAATTACCTCTATACCATCGAAGCCAGACGATTTCTTGATGTGGAGGCCGATGATCTCCTCCTTGACCTTCTCCTGAGTGACAGAGTCCGCCTGTGTGAAGTCGGAGCTCGGTTTGACCAGCAATTGCTCTGTTTCAGCTAAGTCTTCTTTCTAGCACGTGTTAAAAGGGGTCAATATATTGCCCCAAAGATTGGGGAACTTTCTGGCCTTTTCAAGTTTAGCTCGAGCAGCAGCGCTGGTGTTGGGTTGGTCATCCGCATTAATCCTTTTGACTTTGCCTATTGAATTCGCCGGAGTTGCAGGAATCGCTAGAGTCGTCGCAGGTGATTTTGATATTGGCTTTAGGAGAGCGGGGTGGGGCTTACCAATTCATCGTGTTGATATTGTTTTTCTCGAATTGGCCGCAAGTTTCTATATAAATGTGTTTTTTTTATAATTATTATTATTTTATTATTATTATTTCAATTTGATTTTATTTATTTAATTTGTTTTTTTACAAACAGTAGAAACGAAACGTTAAGTTGCCTGGTTCATATATACGGTTCATATACTATAATGATGTTAATAATTACATATTTTAATACCCTCTGCAAGGGTATAAGCCACGGAATAGTTTTCTAACATCAATATTATAGTTATTTTTTATTTTCTTGTTTTAAACTGAAATAAAAAGGAAAAATATATTATTCAAAAGAATATTTTTATAAAAAGCAGTTTCGAATCCTCAGGATCAGTTTAACGAACGGACTCGCTCAGAAGTATATGCTATTGTACAGGAAGTTCGTAATAGCCAGAGGAAGGCGCTGGAGAAAGTCGAATGGTTGGACCCCGAGACCCGACGGGAGGCACAGCTAAAGGAGTCCACCATTGAATCTATTATTGGAAGCTACGAAAACGAAGAGATTACCACACGTATGATCCAAGAAATCCGCGGCTTGGACTTGAAGGAAGCGAGCTACCCCCAGAGCTTGATCCACCTACGAAAACTGGTTACCCGCTTGCGACGTTTTAATGGATTTCACTACGAGGAACTGCATAACGAATCCAAGCCCCTGGATTTTCTTTTGGGCATGCAGGTGAATGCCTTTTATTACAACCTTGATAACTCCATTTATGTGATGGCTGGCATTTTGCATCCACCTGCTTATCATCCTGACTGGCCCAATTCTCTGAAACTTGGTACTTTGGGCTACCTGATGGGCCACGAGCTTACCCACGGCTTTGACACTATGGGCTCCAACTTCGACAGTGAAGGGGAAATGCGCAACTGGTGGTCAAAGAAGTCTAGAGCTGTTTTTGAGGAGCGGGCAATGTGTTTTGTGGACTACTACGATCGCTATCTAATACCTGAGATTAATAGGAACATCAACGGCAAAGGGACCCAGGACGAAAACATCGCGGTTAGCGGTGGGCTGCAGGGTGCCCTTGATGCATATCGCAACCAAATGAAACAGTTGAAGAATAGAAGTGAGGGGGCCAACGCGACCCTAGAAAGCGAAAAAATGCCCGGACTGGATCTGTCGCCAGAACAGCTTTTCTTTCTCGGATTTGCCCAGCTATGGTGTGCGGATTACGAGCAGGAACATTATTGGGAAGAGTTAGGCAAGGAACACACCATCGACAAGTACCGTGTCTTGGGCGCAGTCTCCAACAATCATGATTTTTCTCAGGTCTATAATTGCCCCTCCGGCAGTCCAATGAATCCCAAAAATTCTTGCCGCATTTGGTAATCTACTTTAATTTACTTTAAACAATACGTTCTAAACATTGTAGGATGAAATTTTATTTCTTTTCACTGTTAGGATCTGTACTTAAACTTTATTAATAAAATATAATATTAATAAGGGAAATCGTTGTTTACAAATTAAAAAAAAAAAAAAAAACATAACTTATTACAATGTTGTTAAAATGCATAAAACATAACCATTTTATTCTTTTTATTAGAAGAAGTGCAGTTCATGATGCTAGGTGTTGTCCATGATGCTGAGGGGTGCTTTTTTCAGGGATTTTTCCGAGTTTCAAAGAGATATATGGTACTGGATTGAAAAGTATAGATAATAAGAATTTAATTTTAAAAAATAAAAACCTTTTCATCAGTGAGCCTCTTTGGAAAAAGATGGCGTTTATTTTCTTATCAAAGGTAATGTTTAGCTTAGGTCAAGTCTGAGAGGAAGCCGCGATTAATCTCGGACCTGCTTGCAAAGTCTGACCCATCAGCTTATTTGTTAATCGTGCTCAGAATTAAACAGTCGATCACTCGTTAGCGCTTATGCTTTAAGTTACCAAACCTAAATAAACGCTGATTCGCCCTAAGATGTTTTCAAACCTGAGTCGCCTCAGAGTTACCATATTCTGCGTAATTTTGTACATTCTTGTTGGCACCTATTTCTTTGAGTGTAAAGCCAGAAGTGTCGGTGATTCAAGCAACAGTGAAAATTTAATTAAAGACGACACTGAGGAGTATCTCAAATCCTATGGCGAAAAAATGAAATCTTACATGAATCTTAGCGTGGCACCTTGTGATGACTTTTACGAATATGCCTGCGGAAATTGGAAGAACGTACGTCCGGATCGTTTCCAGTCCAACTACAAGAAAAACAACCTCTTAGATATTGATTTCACTCTCCGCGATGAGGTGGAGAAGCTCTTGACTAACACGAAGTTGGCCCAAGCGCTCAACGACTCTACGGAGCTGCAGGTTGCGCAAAAATTCTACAACGCGTGCCTCTCGGCGGTGGTGTTTCCGTTTCCAGCTGCTGATCCCGCTTATCTGGAGCTTATAAGGTCAATTGGTGGTTTCCCTGCCGTCGACGGAGCGGCATGGAATGCTTCTAGCTTCAGCTGGTTTAATATGAGCGCCCATCTAACGAATTTAGGGGTCAATGGGTTGATCAACGAGGATATTTCACCCAAGTATCCCTTTAGACCGTTGTTGGAAATGCCTGTACTGGGATTTGATCACATCGTCCAAACGGATAGCATAGCCAAAAATACTTCTCGAACATACAAGATGAACGAAAAGCGAATGCAGAGTTATCTACAAGCCTATAATCTCACGACGAATATGATTTCGGAAGTGATCGCTGGGGTTTTTGACTTCTGGCGTGAGGCACTCGAAATTTCTAACACATTTAATGGCTGTACCTACAAATGCAAAGTTATTTCTGCAAAAAAAGTACTACCAAAGTATTATCAATGGAAGAGCTACTATGAGATTGCATGGAACGGATTATTCTTTAACCGATGGGACAATACTGCAGATTATTGCGACCACTACTACGAACAGTTGGAGAAAGTGTGCTCAAAGCACCCAGAGGCTGTGGCAAACTATCTGTCGATGCTTCTGTTATATCGAATGGATGCGAAACTGAAGGAGGAGAAGTATCACAAGGATTACTGCCTCTCGACAGTGCAAAGTGGCTTTGCCTATTTATTTGACAAGCTCTACATGACGGTAAGTGTACAGGGAATGCTTTATACTGAATTTTTCCTGAATAACGTTTTATCTGATAAGGATGGTTGAGGTACCAATAAAAGGTATTTAAAGTAAAACAGTTTTTGAAGAAGTTTATCGAAAATTAGAGAATCACCGTCATATACCACCGTTAGAGAACACCGTTCGATTGGTATATGAATTATTGCAATCGAATGCACACAAAAAATTTTACGCTTTTCGGCTATAATTAGTGAAAATACATTTTAGGACTTTCTTTGCTCAATAAAATAATTGTATTGTTTAAAACGTATTTATTTATAAAAGCATTTTCGAATTCCCAGGAGAATTTTATCGACAGGACTCGCACAGAAGTATCAGATATTCTACAGAAACTTCGCAATAGCCGAAGAAATGCGCTGGAGGAAGTCGAGTGGTTGGACCCGTGGACTCGGCGGGAGGCACTACTCAAAGAGTCCACCATTAAGCCCGTAATAGGTAGCTACAAAAACGAAGAGGTTACCAGTGGTTTGATCCAAGAAATCAATAAGCTGCAGTTGGAGGATAGGAGCTTCCCCCAGAGCATGATCCAGTTTCAAAAATTGGTGACCCGCTTACGCCGCTTCAATGGACTGCACCACAAGGAACTCCCTAAGGATACGAAGCCCCTGAAATATCTTTTGGGTATTCAAGTTAAGGCTTTTTATAGTCACCGTTTAAACGCCATTCATGTGATGGCTGGAACATTGCATCCGCCTGTCTATCATCCCGAGTGGCCTAGTTCCTTAAAATTTGGTACTTTGGGCTTCTTGGTGGGCCATGAACTAACCCACCCCTTTGATACTAAGGGCTGCCAGTTCGACTTTGAGGGACACATGCGTAACTGGTGGTCAATGAGGTCTAGAGCTGCATATCAGGAGCGGGCTATGTGCTTTGTAGACCACTTTAACAGCTACCATATTCCGGAGATTGATCGCAATATTAACGGAAAAAGCACCCAGGACGAAAACATCGCAGATAACGGTGGGCTGCAGGGTGCACTTGATGCATATCGCAACCACATGAAACAGTTGAAGAATAGAAGCGAGGGGGAAAACGTGACCCTAGAAAGCGAACAAATACCCGGTCTGGACCTATCGCCAGAACAGCTTTTCTTTCTCGGTTTTGCCCAGCTATGGTGTTCGGATTACGAGAAAAAACAATATTGGATAATGTTAAACCAAAAATACACCATCGAAAAGTATCGTGTCTTGGGCGCAGTCTCCAACAATCCTGATTTTGCCCAGGTGTATAACTGCCCCGCTGGAAGCCCAATGAATCCCCAAGCTGATACCTGCCGCATTTGGTAACCCTTCTTCAAATACATTGAAAGCAAGTCAGTATGAAGCTCTCTAAATATTGTTAAATACTTTTCTTAAAATACCAAATAATAAAATGCTACAAAATTTCATAGTGGTTGACACTCTTCTTTGTCGGGCTTGGGACGTTTAAAAACAAACAAGAAAGGAAAGCTAACTTCAGGCGGACCCAAAGTTCATATACCCTTGCAGTTTAAACCGTATATATATCGCAAACATCGGATATAGTTGGCAGATTCTTATGAGAATATCATTATAAAACCAATTTATTACAAACAAAATCTAAAGAAACAAACTCCCAAGCTTCTATCTTCGAAAATGCCAAATTTGGTTTTCTTACAAAATACCAAATACCATTTCCGATCGTTCAGTTATATGGCAACTATAAGATATAATCGGCAGATCGTTGTGAGATTTGGTATTTCGGATCAGCTGACTAAAAACTGTACAAAGTTCCAACTTTCTACCATCAAAAAACGCGAAAGTTGCAGAATCTGCAATGCAGATATAGGATATAGTTGGCAATCCTTATGAAATTTGGTGCGCCATATTATTTTTTCGAAAATAGCGTTCATCTAAAATCCGAACTCTAACTCTAAAATCACAAAGTTATAGAATTTCCGATCAATCAGTTGGCAGCTATAGGATATCTCGGCCGTTCCGACTTATATATATGCGTGCAAAGGAAAGAAAAAAGTGTGTGCAAAGTTTTAAGTCGATAGCTTTAAATCTGAGAGACTAGTTTGCGTAGAAACAGACAGACAGACATTCTTATATCAACTAAGATGGTGATCCTGATCAAGAATATATACGTACAATACTTTATAGGGTCTCCTTCACTGCGTTGCATACTTTTAATCAAAATTATAATATCCTCTGCAAGGGTATAATAAGAAAAGCGAGGCGGACTTCAGGAGGAGCCATAGTTGATAAAACCTTAAGTTAGGATCGGATATATGGGAGTTTTTGATTTGGTATAGTACACAAGGAACAGAAAAATAAAACACTATCCAGATAATATTCTGATAACTCTCTGACTACAGTATGTAGCTGTTATGATACTATTATTAAATATTTGCTCATATGAAAATTAAAATAAAAATTCATATTACATTAAAATATTTAAAACTAAAATTTTTTCATTTTAATATTTAAAATATTAAACTCTTGAATTTTAAAAGTTGAAGAAAAGGAAAGGAAAAGTTTGTAAATAATAATTATTTGCAATTATATATCTATATATTTTTTCTCTTTAAAAAAGGAATTTAGTTTCTTTAATATAATTTGGATCTATCAAGAGGATTAACATGTAGTGAAAGGGTCAAGGCAAAGCTTTTAAAATCAAGAAAAATCTCATATTGCTTAATAAATATGCCTAATACATTTTTTGAGTCTATTTTCTTATCAGCGTAAATATTTAGCTTAGGTCAAGTCTGAGAGAGAGCTACGAATAATTTCGAGCTGCTTGAGAAAGGCCTTAGTTCTAAATCGGGCTCTGAATTAAACAGTCGATTTCCTTTTGTGCTTAAGGTTTTGTACACACTGACTAGAGTGTGATTTGCCGTAAAATGTTTTTAAATCTAGGTGGCCATAGAATATCCATGCTCTGTGTATTTGGTTACATTCTGGTTGGCTCTTATATCTTGGAGTGCAAAGGCAAGAGTGTCGGTGATTCAAGCAATAGTGAAAATGTTATTAAAGACGACACTGTGGAGTACCTCAAATCTTATGGGGAGAAAATGAGATCTTACATGAATCTAAGCGTGGCACCTTGTGATGACTTTTACGAATACGCCTGCGGAAATTGGAAAAACGTACGTCCGGATCGGTTCCAGCCCAACCACAAAAGAAACAACCTCTTAGATATTATCTACACCCTGATCAATGAAGGAGAGAAGCTCCTGACCAGCACGCAGTTGGCCCAGGCACTCAACGTTTCTTCGGAACTGTTGGTTGCGCAACAGTTCTACAACACGTGTCTCTCGGCGGTGGTGTTTCCGTTTCCAGCCGCTGATCCCGCTTATCTGAAGCTTATCAGGTCCCTAGGTGGTTTCCCCGCCGTCGACGGAGCGGCTTGGAATGCTTCTAGCTTTAGCTGGTTTAATATGAGCGCCCATCTTACTAATTTTGGGGTTAATGGGTTAATCAACGAAGATATTTTGCCCCAGTACCCTTTTGGTCCGTATTTTAAATTGCCGGAACTGGGGTTTGATCATATCGTCCAGACGGATAACATAGCCAACAGTACCTCCCGAGCCTACAAGCTCAACGAGAAACGAATGAAGAGTTATCTGCAACCTTATAATCTCACGGAGGACAAGATTTCGGAGGTGATCGCTGGGGTTTTTGACTTCTGGCGTGACGCTCTTGCAGTTGCGGATAGATTTGAAGGTGATAACGAGAAATGTATAGAAATTTCTGCCAACGAGGATCTGCCTAAGTTTCATCAGTGGGAGAGTTACTACGAGATTGCATGGAACGGGAAAAACTTTTCTAACGTGGGAGGAACGGATGGATATTGCGACTACTACTACGAACTGTTGGAAAAAGTGTGCTCAAAGCACCCAGAGGCAGTGGCAAACTATCTAGCCATGCTACTGTTATATCGAATGGATGCCAAACTGAAGGAGGAGAAGTATCACAAGGATTACTGCCTCTCGATGGTGCAATTCAGCTTTTCCCATCTTCTTAACAAACTGTACATGGCGGTAAGTTTAGGGGTGAAGTTATTTATTCTTTTATTTTATTAAAAAGCGGTAAGTTTTATTTATTGAGTTTTAAAAAAAGTTCTGAGAAATCAACTAAAATGTTACACCTAACTACAAATATCTATACATAGAAGATTATGTGTTATGTTTTTACCATCGTATATGTAAATATTGTAAGAGAGGGCGGAGCCGAAGACGGCCGATCCCGGCCGTTCCGATTTATATACTGCATGCAAGTAAAAGAAGGGTCTTTTTTCAAGCAGCTTTAAAACTTAGAGACTAGTTTGAGACGTAGAAACAGGCAGACGGAGATGCTTATATCAACAATATATATACTTTATAGGGTCGGTGATGTCTCCTTCCCTGAGTTCCACACTTTTGATCAAAATTATAATACCCTCTGTAAGGGTTTGAAAATGTAAAACGTAAAACCACGGTTGAATTTTTTAAGACAAATATTATAGTTATTTTCTTGAACTTTTTAAAATGAAATAAAAAGGAAAAATACATTGTTTAAAACGAATTTTCTAATCCCCAGGAGCATTTTATCGAACGGACTCGCTCAGAGGTATCTGCCATTGTAGGGGAAGTTCGCAAAAGCCAGAGGAAGGCGCTGGAGAAAGTCGAATGGTTGGACCCGGAGACTCGGCGAGAGGCACAGCTAAAGGAGTCAACCATTGAATCTGTCATTGGTAGCTACGAGAACGAAGAGGTTAACACGCGCCTGATCCAAGAAATCCGCGGCTTGGACTTGAAGAATGCGAGCTATTTCCAGAACTTGATCCACCTACGAAAACTGGTTACCCGCCTGCGCCGTTTTAATGGATTCCACTACGAGGAACTGCATAACGAATCCAAGCCCCTAGAGCTGCTATTGGGCATGCAGGTGAATGCCTTTTATTACAACCTTGATAACTCAATTTATGTTATGGCTGGCATATTGCATCCACCCGCTTATCATCCGGACTGGCCCAATTCTCTAAAATTTGGTACTTTAGGCTACCTGGTGGGTCACGAGCTAACTCACGGATTTGATACCATAGGCTCCACGTTCAATAGCGAAGGCGAAATGCGCAACTGGTGGTCAAAGAAGTCTCGGGCGGTTTTTGAGGAGCGAGCAACGTGTTTTGTAGACCACTACGGTCGCTATCTTATACCTGAGATTAATCAGAAAATCAATGGCAAAGAGACCCAGGACGAAAACATCGCGGATAGCGGTGGGCTGCAGGGTGCACTTGATGCATATCGCAACCACATGAAACAGTTGAAGAATAGAAGCGATGAGGACAACGAGATCCTAAAAAGCGAAAAAATGCCCGGGCTGGATCTTTCGCCAGAACAGCTTTTTTATCTCGGATTTGCCCAGCTCTGGTGTTCGGATTATGAGCAGGAACACTTTTGGGAGGAGTTAAAAATGGAACACACCATAGACAAGTATCGTGTCTTGGGTGCAGTTTCCAATAATCATGATTTTTCAAAGGTCTATAACTGTCCTGTCGGCAGCCTAATGCATCCCAAAGCGGATGCTTGCCATATTTGGTAATTGGTACTAAATAATACATTTAAAGAATGAAGCAGCCTAAACATTTTTAAATACCACCATAGTATTTAAAAACTGTTTAATCTTGTTAAATACCTGATTATAAAAAGAAGTCATATTCATATTAAAAATTTTTACTTAAACTCCACTAAACTATTTATGTTTTTTTTTACGTTTGGTAGTATAATATTTATATTCTATGTAACCATTTAGCAAAAGAACTATCCAATTTGGCACTTAGACTCTTATGGTATCCTCGCAAATCAAGTTTCTATTAAAAAGTTTAAAAAAAAATAGTTTGCTAAAGTCCATACGTTTGAAGTTTAAACATTAAAGCTTAATGTGTGTGTGGAAGAGATGAGTACCGGGTCTAATATATTCGGTCAATCAATTAAATAGTCGGTAAAATATGTTTTTTAAATGTTGGTTATTGTTGGGCGATCCTTATGGAAATTTAAGTGTCAGACCAATTCGAGTAATATGAATTATAAAGAGAGTCGCATCTGAACAACCTTGAGTCTTATTGGATTTCTCATCGTTTAGTTATATCTTCAGGATCTAGTCGTCGGATCCTAATACATATAATTTAATAATCAAAAATATAATTATTTTTTTACCAAAATATAATGACTATTCTATCTTAAAAAATACCATAGTTATGTAATTTCCATTCAAAACTTATCACTAAAACTTATTCATTAACGTATCATTAAAAGTATTACTTGAATCGATTTAGAATAGACTTTTACTTGAGAAAATTATCTTTGAGATGCTGTAGCTTTAAAATTTAAAGTCTAAAAATTTAATTTCTTATATTTACAAACACAGGGTCGAAAAGTAGAGCGATGAAATATTTGGAGCTCTTTTTTCGCTTATCAGTTTTCTAAGATATAATTCGATATAAATGACATAATTCTGCCGACTGTACAATGTAATAAATATATTCTTTAAGACACATTTGTATGTATGCAGCCCATTAAAATATAGCTGAACCAGAGTAATTTGTTCATTTGTAAAAAAACAATCTCTCCTGCTGAATGAATGAGATTCTAATCAATGAATTCTTTTGAATTGCAATCGAATATATTCTTATCAGCCTTATTATTTAGCTTAGGTCAAGTCTCAGAGAGAGTCGCTACGGATCTGTTTGGAAAATAGGTCCTAGCAGCTTAGTCGATAATCGTGCTCTGAGTTAAACAGTCGATCTCTTGCGCTTCAGGTTTTGTTTATAAAGAAATCCGGAATTATCAATGTGACCTATACTACACTTGACTTAAAAGAACATACACACATATAGAAAGATAATTGCAGTGACTAATGATTTCAAACTCAAGTAGCCACAGAGTTCTCATGCTCTGGGTATTTATTTACATCCTTGTTGGCTTTTATATCTTGGAGTGCCAGGCCAGGGGTGTCGGTGATTTAAATAGTGAAAATGTAATTGAAGACGATACTGTGGAGTACCTTAAATCCTATGGCGAAAAAATGAAATCCTACATGAATCTAAGCGTGGCACCTTGTGATGACTTTTACGAATACGCCTGCGGAAATTGGAAAAACGTACGTCCGGATCGGTTCCAGCCCAACCACAAAAGAAACAACCTCTTAGATATTGTCTACACCCTGATCAATGAAGGAGAAAAGCTCCTGACCAGCACGCAGTTGGCCCAGGCGCTTAACGTTTCTACGGAACTGCAGATTGCGCAACAATTCTACAACACGTGTCTCTCGGCGCCTGCTTTTCCGCTGCCGGCCGCTGATCCCGCTTATGTGGAGCTTATCAAGTCCATAGGTGGTTTCCCTGCCGTCGAGGGAGCGGCATGGAATGCTTCTAGATTCAGCTGGTTTAATATGAGCGCTCATCTCACGAATTTCGGGGTCAAAGGGTTGATTAACGAGGATAATTTGCCGCAGTACCCCTTTACTCCGTTTTTTGAATTGCCAGAACTGGGATTCGATCACATCGTCCAGACGGATAACATAGCCAACAGTACCTCCCGAGCCTACAAGCTCAACGAGAAACGAATGAAGAGTTATCTGCAACCTTATAATCTCACGGAGGACAAGATTTCGGAGGTGATCGCTGGAGTTTTTGACTTCTGGCGTGACGCACTCGCAGTTGCGGATAGATTTGAAGGTGATAACGAGAAATGTATAGAAATTTCTGAAAACGAAAATCTGCCCAAGTATCATCAGTGGGAGAGTTACTACGAGATTGCATGGAACGGGAAAAACTTTTCTAACGTGGGAGGGACGGATGGATATTGCGACTACTACTACGAACAGTTGGAAAAAGTGTGCTCAAAGCACCCAGAGGCAGTGGCAAACTATCTAGCCATGCTACTGTTATATCGAATGGATGCCAAACTGAAGGAGGAGAAGTATCACAAGGATTACTGCTACTCGGTAGTACAAAGCGGCTTTTCCTACGTTTTGAACAAGCTCTACATGGCGGTAAGTCCACGACGACACATTTTTTTATTCAGTATATATATTTACAAATATTTTTGAATCGACAGCATTTTAAAGACCGGACTCGCTCAGAAGTGGCGTCTATTGTGCAGGAACTTCGCAATACCCAAAAGAAGGCGCTTGAGAAAGTGGAATGGCTGGACCCGGAGACTCGCCAGGAGGCACAGCTTAAGGAGTCGACCATTGAGCCTGTTATTGGAAGCTATAAAAACGAAGAGGTTAGCACTCGCTTGATCCAAGAAATTCACAGTCTCGACTTGGAGAACGCGAGCTTCCCCCAGCGCCTGATCCAACAACGAAAACTGCTCACCCGCTTGCGCCGTTTCAATGGATTCCACAGCGAGCCCAATGACACGAAGCCCCTGGAGTTGCTATTGGGCATGCAAGTGAATGCCTTTTATTACAACCTTGATAACTCCATTTATGTCATGGCTGGCATATTGCATCCACCTGTTTATCATCCTGACTGGCCGAATTCCCTCAAATTCGGTACTTTGGGCTACCTGGTGGGCCACGAGCTAACCCACGGCTTTGACACTGTCGGCTCCAAGTACGATAGTGAAGGAGAAAAGCGCAACTGGTGGTCAAAGAAGTCTCGAGGTGTTTTTGAAGAGCGAGCAACGTGTTTTGTGGACCACTACGACCGCTATCTTATACCTGAGATTAATCAGAAAATCAATGGCAAAGGGACCCAGGACGAAAACATCGCAGATAGCGGTGGGCTGCAGGGTGCACTTGATGCATATCGCAACCACATGAAACAGTTGAAGAATAGAAGCGAGGTGGACAACGAGACCCTGGAAAGCGAACAAATGCCCGGGCTGGATCTATCGCCGGAACAGATTTTCTATCTCGGATTCGCCCAGCTCTGGTGTGCGGATTACGAGCAGGAACATTACTGGGAAGAGCTAACCAATGAACACACCATAGACAAGTATCGTGTCTTGGGCGCAGTCTCCAACAATTATGATTTTTCTCAGGTTTATAATTGCCCCTCCGGCAGTCCAATGCATTCCCAAGCGCATAGCTGTCGCATTTGGTAATTATTCTTATTTAAAACATTTGTAAGAATTTTAAAGATTCTCCTAATACATCATCCTTATATGAAATAAAATATGAAAAGGAAATAATTGTTTTATTTGTTGGAGTAAAAACAGTGGCCAGGGTGGTACCCTCTTACTACATTAACACCCCTTTTGCAAAAAACTACATTTTTTCACTTCCAATTTTCTTTAAATTAGTTCTCTCATTAAAAATTATCTTTCTTGGAAAGAAAATTATTACTTTGAAGACTATTTTCCATACAATCCAAATTGGAAATAAAATTAATCTAAAACCTTGGATTAGTGAGGAACATGTTCCGAGGACTTAAAGGCGTTGGCTCCGCGATAGTTTTCTACCAGGAGCGATTTGTAGCGCCGCAGGTGGACGCTGAGCCCCTCCTCCCGTTCGCTGGCAGAAAGGATAGCCACACGAGCCACTACCAAATGGGAAGGATTTGACTGACTGAAGCCTCTGATCACATCGATTTCATCGCCGACATCAAGCTGAAAGTATTTTATATTTAAAACAATTTTTTAATCAAATCATAAAAAACTTCTCACCTGAGCGCTTTTCTTTTGAAGCTTTTTTCCATTGACCCGTATCTTGCTTTCATAAAAATTTAGTTCCACTTTGCTAATGAAAGAATTAAAATTAGTCATTTAATTAGAAAAAATAGGTAAAGTAAAAAATTTCTTATTTTAAATTAGTTGTTCATTTTCTTACACTTTTTATTTAGTGATCAATTGTTTTTTTTAAATATGGATTGTTTTCACAAATTAAAGTTTAATTTATTATAATTAATAATATATTGCATTTAAGGTGAAAAATGATCTCATAAAATTAGCATAATATAATATTAAAAAATTGTAAAGTCTAATCTAATGGTTTAATCAGATTTCGTGTATGTATACTAACTTTCTGGCCATTCCCAGACCTGCTTTTAACAGCAAGTCTGCCCGCAGTGAGTTCACCTTGGTCTTTACCACCTTGGAGTCGCGCTCATCTTTGAAATCCTCATCTTCATCATCGTCGCTGTCCAGATCTTCCGCCGCCCTAGACGATTTTTTATCATATTTCCATGCGGAGCTGCTGGTATGTAGAGGAGCCTGAAGTCTTACACAAACTTCTGGTGTGGATGAGGTTATATTGGCCAAACTGCTGCCTGGAACAGGGGCGGATAAACATCGCCTTAACCGAGATATTTGACGTAAACTTCGGAGCATTTTTTTGCGGGCGCCTTAACAATTACGATAACAAATAACATAACCTAAAAATCACAGCTGATTAAAGGGGGGACTATATTTAAACACATTAAAATTAGTTTTTCTCCATAAAGTCGTAGGGTATTATAATAAATAAGTTTAATAAAAAGAAATAATTTTTTTTTGAATTTGTGTTATTTTCATATTTATTTTTTTAGTTTAGTTTTGTTTGCAAAGTTCCTTCTTTTGCTTTTTGTTGCGTTTCTTTTTAGGTTTCTTGTTGGGATTTGGACGAATCTGTTGTACAGTAAGTGGCTGATAGGTGCTTAGGTTACTTGGCAGAAACTCATCCTCTTCAATCTCATCCTCATCCTCGTGTATTTCCATGGGTTCTATGTCGGGGGATTCTTCTTTTTTCATAGGTTTTTCGACTTTTGCTTCATTTTTGGCTTGACTTCTGGCTTTCATGGCCAAATTGCTAAGAGCAGCACCCAGTTGTTTGGTCTCCACCTGAATATCTATCCTGTCCAGCTTTATTGTCGCTTTGTCATCAGAAAACGAGATAAAATCGCCATCCCATTCTTGTTCCACAGGCTTTGGTACAACTGGCTCTTTTTTCTGGCTCTTTTTCTCGGCTTCAATACTTTCCTTATCCTTTTGTTCCAGTGTCTTCATTTTTTTTGTACATTTCTGTGCCTTAGACGTTTTTTTTATGGAAATGGGAGGATCTAATTTCCTGGCGGTAACCCACTGATCTAAATCCTCGCTAATGGTTTTTAAATCCAATGGTAAGGTTAAAGCTGTAGCCCTTATACCAAAAATATCCTCGGTTAGATCCTCCAGCTTGGGTTGGGCGTAGATGGGAGCGGTGGGGACCTTGACGGATGCACTGGTGGTAATTAACCGGATGAGATGGGCTGGTCGCAGGCTTAAGGAAACAATCAAAAGTGAGAACCGCTTCGAGTTTATTGCACGTAAAGAACTCTCCAGACCCAGATGAATTCCATAGCGACTAGGAAATGTCTTAGTACCATCTTTGCAGTTTTTTATAGCCTTTTTAATTATACTAGAAAACTGCAGCACTTCATCTTCGGTTAAAAGCGGGCTGAAATTTTTAAAAGTTCACTTGTTGATACAGTTTTGTTGTTTACCTTCCTACCTGTGATTTTTGTACGGATTTGCCAAAATGGTACGCAACCTTGGTAGCATCTTCTTCTTGCCTTTGGCTTCCTTTTGTTTAATGCTGGCTAAACTCATCCTGGATTTTTAAAATTATGATTGAAAAAAATAAACAAAAATGTGTTCAATGCCCAGGTGGTGCCCTGCGTTGCCACCTAATATTTAATGGCGAGTGCTGCCACACTGCCACAAACAAATTTAAATGAAACAATAATTTTAATGTAAATTCAAATATATTTAAATACGATTTTTAAATTAGTACCAATAAATTTCGGGTTCTGTATCTGAGTTATATCTTTTAGGTTTATCTATTTTGAAATCTTCGGCATGATTCGCCTTTCTAGCTGTCGTGGTTGGCTCTGTTGTTGTAACATTACTATCCGGATTGTCAAAATTATCCATCATTGTACTTAAATATTTTGTACTGTCGAAACCGGGAGTTGTAGAAATTATTTCCAGTAAGGTTGTGTAGGCTTCTGGATTTTCTGTGGTGTTTAAAGAACTGGGCGTTGTAGATTCCCATGATTCAGTGGTAGTCTTATCTGTCATTACTGAATTGTCCGTAGTGCTAGTTTCCGGGGATGGTTCCGTGGTTTCCGTCAAATCTGTGAACGTGTATTCGGTTGTACTGGTATAGTCCATGAAGTTTTCTTGGGTAGAATGAAAAATCGTAGTGCTTGTTTCTGGAGCCTCTGAAGTATCGGGATAGTTCGAAGTGGTATCTTCTTGTATGGATGTTGTGGTGGACTCAAAAATATTGGTAGTGGATTCCGTATATTCTGGTAAGGTTGTTGTGGGAGAATCAAAGCTTATATAAGTTGTTTCTTCTGGGGCCTCCGTAGTTCCTGGAATGTTTGTTGTGGAATCACTCAGCAACAATGGGGTTGTGGATTGAATACCGGACGTAGTGGTCTCCGGCGACGCAGTAGTTGGGTATATTTCTGTAGTCGAGTATTCCGGAAACGGTGTTGTGGTTGATTCCATGTATAAAGTAGATTCTGGAGGCTCCGTAGTGACAGGACTATCCGTGCTGGTAACCCATGGAGAAAATGTTGTTGTGGATTCAAGACTGGAAGTAGTTTCCTGTGATTCTGTATTTTCAGGGTTTTCCGTACTTGTAGTCTCCGGTAATGGTTTTATTGTAGAATTAATAATGTTGGCTGGTTTTTCCAGTGATAGAACCCCTGTTGGCTTGTAAGGAGAATAGCTTTTTACTTTATATGGAATGTGATTTTTTATATAATCCTTAGCCAAGCTAATCCAGTCGTCGCGACTTAGAACTTCATTTAAATCTTTACTGGCTAACAATAATTGTGCCATTAGAAGAAGTAAATATATTATCTTCATGACGATGTTGACTCCTTCACCAAAAATCTCTGACTAATTACTTTCAAAATCCTCCAAGCATTTATAAGGGTATTCTGGGTATTCTACCTGTTTTACTTGAAGAGCTACCTGCTCCGAAAACGCTCATTACCATTAATTAGCAACACGGGAAATTTGCATTTAATTTTTAAAATTTCCCGCCAGGGCTGCACCATTGCTTGTTACGGTCTGGTAACGCTAAACCATTGCCGGCATTTCCAACAGCTGATTGTTTTTGTGGATAGAAGAAGAGTGGCGTGTTTTCCAATCCGCGTTTTTTCTTAAAAATTTTAAAGCCATATTAATTGCAGTTATAAATCATCCATTATAAAAAAATAGTTTAACCAAAGACAAAAACCTCAATACAGTAGGTACACCTCAGTAATAAAAACTTTAATTTACGGACGGAGACATTGGTGCTTCGCTTTGCCTTTTTCGTGAATAAAATAATTAATTTATTGTTTATTTTTAGTAACCAATTAAAAATGGACTCCGATTTGTATGATGAGTTTGGAAACTACATTGGCCCTGATTTAGACAGCGATGAAGATGATGAACAAAGCATTTATGGTCAGCCAGATGTACAGGACGATCCAGAGGCAAATACTTGATTTCTCTTTTTGATGGAAAATATGAAATTATGTTAATTATTTTCTTTAAACAGGACGCAATGGATGAAGATGAGGTGGAGCCGCAGGAGGATGAGGACAAGGAAGTGACTGCAGTAGTACTTCACGAGGATAAACGATATTATCCATCTGCGGTCGAAGTTTACGGGCCAGATGTGGAGACAATTGTTCAGGAGGAAGATGCCCAGCCGCTGGACAAGCCACTTATCGAACCCGTTAAGAAGCTGAAGTTCCAGATCAAGGAGCAGGATATGCAGGAGACCACTTACGATATGGAGTTTATGGCGGATTTGATGGATACTCCTCCGCTAATTCGCAACGTGGCATTGGTTGGGCACTTGCACCACGGCAAAACCACGTTTGTGGACTGCCTTATCCGTCAGACGCATCCGCAGTTTGAGAACATGGAGGAGCGCTCGCTGCGCTATACGGATACGCTTTTCACCGAGCAGGAGCGTGGATGCAGTATTAAGGCTACTCCTGTTACCCTGGTCCTGCAGGATGTCAAGCAAAAGAGCTACTTACTGAATATTTTTGATACACCCGGACACGTCAACTTTTCCGATGAGGCGACGGCCGCGATGCGGATGAGCGACGGAGTGGTGCTATTTATTGACGCCGCCGAGGGCGTCATGCTGAACACTGAGCGCCTGCTCAAACATGCGGTGCAGGAGCGCCAGGCCATCACTGTGTGCATCAATAAGGTGGGTGAATGAAGTTTTAGAAATGTTTGCAAAATATTCATCGGGTTTGTGGATTCACAGATTGACCGTTTGATATTGGAGCTGAAGCTGCCGCCTCAAGATGCCTACTTTAAGTTGAAGCACATAGTGGAGGAGGTGAATTCGCTGCTCAGGTAAGCCAATACTCTCAAGTCGTATGGGGTTCTTGTGTTAAACAAAATATTATTAATTTTTCAGTACATATGCCGCCGCAGATGACAATGTATTAGTGTCTCCCATCTTGGGCAATGTTTGCTTTGCAAGTTCCCTATATGGGTTCTGTTTTACTCTTAAATCATTTGCCAAACTCTATGCCGACACTTACGAGGGCGTAAATTACATAGACTTTGCCAAGCGGCTTTGGGGCGATATGTACTTCAATAGCAAAACGTAAGTGTAATATCCATCAGTCTTTAAAATTGTGTCTCACAAACGTATTATATAAACAGGCGCAAATTTTCCAAGAAACAACCTCATAACTCAGCACAGCGCAGTTTCGTAGAGTTCATTCTGGAGCCCATGTATAAGCTGATTGCTCAGGTGGTGGGTGATGTGGATACAACCTTAGCTGACACCCTCGCCGAGCTAAATGTCCGAGTTTCCAAGGAGGAAATGAAATCCAATATACGGCCGCTGCTGCGACTTGTCTGCAATCGGTTTATGGGAGATTGCAGTGGTTTCGTCGACATGTGCGTCGAGCACATTAAATCACCCTTGGAAAACGCCAAACGTAAGGTGGATCACATTTACACGGGGCCCAAAGAAGGTGATATATATCGTGACATGATCTCATGCAACCAGTTCGGAGCCCTGATGGTACACAGCTCCAAGATGTATCCAAACGATGACTGTACATTCTTCCAAGTGCTGGCGAGGATCGTCTCAGGAACGTTGCATGCTGGTCAAGAGGTGCGTGTTCTTGGTGAGAACTACACCCTGCAGGACGAAGAAGATTCGCGCATACTCCAAGTCGGGAGACTCTGGGTCTTTGAATCCAGATACAAAGTCGAATTAAATCGAGTTCCATCCGGCAATTGGGTTCTTATCGAGGGAATAGATCAGTGCATTGTAAAAACATCAACGATTGTGGACATCAACGTCCCGGAGGATCTCTACATTTTCCGACCCCTGAAGTTCAACACGCAGAGCATTATAAAGATTGCGGTTGAGCCAGTGAATCCATCAGAGTTACCCAAAATGTTGGACGGTCTCCGCAAGGTGAATAAGTCCTATCCTCTCTTGTCGACGCGCGTGGAAGAGTCGGGTGAGCATGTGATTCTTGGAACCGGTGAACTTTACTTGGACTGTGTTATGCACGATCTTCGAAAGATGTATTCGGAGATTGACATAAAGGTTGCTGATCCCGTGGTCGCGTTCTGCGAGACAGTGGTGGAAACTAGTTCGCTCAAGTGCTTTGCCGAGACACCCAACAAAAAGAACAAGATAACCATGATTTCAGAGCCTTTAGAAAAGGGTTTAGCCGAGGACATTGAAAACGGAACTGTGTGCATAAACTGGAACAAGAAACGCATCGGAGAGTTCTTCCAGGTCAACTACGATTGGGATTTGCTGGCAGCACGCTCCATTTGGGCGTTTGGCCCCGATTCAACTGGACCCAATATCCTCGTGGACGATACGTTGCCATCGGAAGTGGACAAGAACCTGTTAACAGCTGTAAAGGATTCCATTGTGCAAGGGTTTCAATGGGGCACCCGAGAAGGCCCGTTGTGTGAGGAGCCCATTCGAAATGTCAAGTTCAAGATTCTCGACGGTGTTATTGCTAACGAAGCACTCCATCGCGGTGGCGGTCAGATCATTCCCACAGCTCGCCGTGTGGCATACTCTGCATTCTTAATGGCCACTCCGCGTCTGATGGAGCCCTATTTGTTTGTGGAGGTGCAGGCGCCAGCCGATTGTGTGTCTGCAGTTTATACGGTGCTGGCCAGGCGAAGGTTAGTGAAATATATCCTTTTATTTACGGTAATTTAAAACTCGAACCTTGCTTTACAGAGGTCACGTTACACAGGATGCCCCGGTGTCAGGATCCCCCATATACACGATCAAAGCATTTATACCCGCCATCGACTCATTTGGTTTCGAGACGGATCTGCGTACTCATACCCAGGGCCAGGCCTTCTGCTTATCTGTATTCCATCACTGGCAGATTGTTCCTGGTGATCCGCTGGACAAGAGCATCATAATTCGTCCGCTGGAGCCACAACAGGCTTCGCACTTGGCGAGAGAGTTTATGATTAAGACCCGGCGCAGGAAGGGTCTCTCCGAGGATGTTTCTATCAACAAGTTCTTCGACGATCCTATGTTGCTGGAGCTGGCCCGCCAGGATGTCCTGGTAAACTATCCGTTGTAAGACCAAGACGATCCAATAAACTTTTTAGACATACTTTTCGGTCTTATCTTTTAATTAATTGTTGGACTTTGGAATATGTTAGCCAAAGAAAAAGAAACACCTAATTTGGAATCTACTACAGAAGCATAGTCACTAAATATTTATTTGAAACCTGGCTGGGCCAAATAATTTACAAAATAGTATACAGGAAACAGTTATAGTTTTGGTAGAAACTAGGTCCTCATTCGGTGTTGCCGTTTTGCAGGACCTCCGACTCGTAGCCGTCGTGTTCGGCCTGCTCGTCATCGAATTCCACTTCGTCGTCGGCGGTGGCCTCCTAAAATATTCATAAAAATATTACAAATCCACTCTCCTAAAATTCGAATTAAAAAAATATTCATACCTGATACTGTTGGTACTCGGAAATCAAATCGTTCATGTTGCTCTCAGCCTCGGTGAACTCCATCTCATCCATACCCTCGCCGGTGTACCAGTGGAGGAAGGCCTTGCGCCGGAACATGGCGGTGAACTGCTCGGAGATGCGCTTGAAGATCTCCTGGATGGCCGTGGAGTTGCCAATGAAGGTGGCGGACATCTTGAGGCCCCTGGGCGGGATGTCGCAGACGGCCACCTTGACGTTGTTGGGAATCCATTCGACAAAGTAGCTGCTGTTCTTGCTCTGCACGTTAAGCATCTGGGTGTCCACCTCCTTCATGGACATGGGACCTGTTAATTATTGAGTAAGCGTTAGCGTTAAAAAAAAGAATGCCTCCAGGCACGGGCCGGAAACTTTCAGCGTATTTACATCAAAAGCCAAGTTCGCTTTGATGCGCCAGCCGAATCCCCAAAATCCCTGAATATGAAATACTAAACGGCTTCTAAGTCCTCGCAGCGCACCTTGCCACCTGGGCCAACAGCGATTGCGGAGTAGGGCGGAGTGGTATGGGATGCGGACACAAACAGTCCCAGGAGGTAACTAAAAAAGTTGTTTAAATTCCTTTGCTGGCATTTTTTCCTTTTGCCTCTTTTGGCCCAACGAGCGGAGTCGTACACATTTTTGTGATTAATTATTTTGCAAGTATTTCTGGCAGGCAGTCGTCAGAGAGGCCAAAACGGATATGGATCCCCGGATCTGGAGAAATCCGGAGATGGTGCAGTGCAGCCGGAGTCACGTTCAGCATGATTAGTTAAGCCAGGGGCCGTGTCAGGCGGCGGTCGCAATTCCCCAATGGATCTTGAAAGTAAATTTCTAATTACGCGCGTTTTGCGAGTCATCAGTCAAAAGCAAGGGCAATGGCAGCAGGAGCAGGCAATTCAAAGGAGCAGTCCTTGCGCACCCACACATACACACAAGGAATAACAAATGAAATATTATGCGGCATACTTTTGGGCGCCGCATCGCAGTTTATTAATTTAAAAATTAGCGCGAAAAAATGCCAACAGGCAGTTCAATGTTGTTGGAGTGGAAATGTTTGGTGGACTAACAAATTTGCGCTACGTGCGCGTTGACGGATTGCAGCCTTTTTAGCCAGCCAGCCGGGCATTAATCATTTTTAGTGGCGCCCATAAGTAGGCCCAGTGCTTGGCTAATAAAATCGTCGCCCAAAGCCACGCATTAAAAAAAGCCAAGCCCCCCAGAGAGTCGAAGGTGTTGCTACGTGCCTACGGGTCGGAAAAGCGACGGTCAGGTGCGCCACCGGCTGCCCATGACAAAGTGACAAAGTTTCCCCGGATAAGCAGCCGCCGCCGCCACCACCGTCGTCTGAATAAATGAGCGGATAGATGGATGGATGGGTTCCCCTTGTTTAGGCTACGCGTGAAAGTGTTTAAGGTTTGTTGTTAAAAAACTATTTTTCTTTTCCCAACCTCCTCCCACGTCGACTCCCGCTCAACACTCACCCCGGAAAATGCAGGCCACCGTGAGGTAACGTCCGTGCCGGGGATCGCAGGCAGTCATCATGTTCTTGGCATCGAACATCTGCTGGGTCAACTCGGCCACGGTCAGGGCGCGATACTGCTGGGAGCCCTTGGCGGTTAGGGGTGCGAATCCGGGCATGAAGAAGTGCAGACGCGGAAAGGGCACCATGTTCACGGCCAGCTTGCGGAGATCGGCGTTCAGCTGGCCGGGGAAACGCAGGCATGTGGTTACACCGGACATTGTGACCTGGATGAATTAAGATGATTTTAGTTACTTTATTAAAAATTGTATTAATATTAAAGAGTTGGGTTAATTTAAGTGGGTTGAATTGTTGTTGTTCCTTGTCCTCCGGTTCCATTGATTGTTACTTACAGATACCAAGTGATTGAGATCCTCGTAAGTGGGAGACCCTAGGCGCAGAGTCCGGTAACATATATCGTACAAGGCCTCGTTGTCGATGCAGAATGTCAAGTCGGTGTCCATCAAAAGTTGATGCAGGGACAACGTGGCATTGTATGGTTCCACCACCACCTCCGATACCTTTTCTCAAACCGGTGGCAGGGGTGTTTGGGATTGGGATTTGGAATTTGGTGCACGGATGGAGAGGATGGGTGGACAGACAAACAAACAAAGGAAGCATTAGACGGATGGAATTACGTTACTTACGGAAACCAGATGGTTAAGATCGCCGTAGGTGGGCGACGAGAGCTTCAGCGTGCGGAAACAGATGTCGTAGAGAGCCTCGTTGTCAATGCAGAAGGTCTCGTCCGTGTTCTCCACCAGCTGGTGAATGGATAGCGTGGCATTGTACGGCTCCACGACGGTGTCGGACACCTATCCGGATTAATCGCAAAAGGCCGCAAAATAAGGACATGCAAAATAAAAGCAGATTAATTAGCAAGGCGACCGGCAATCAAACAGGAGCATAAAGGATTTCTTTCTGGTCACCTACTTGGACTTAGGTCCTAAAATTTGTTTCCTCTTAAATGGAATTTACTGCTTAAACATAGGCCACTGGAATTACACGCTTTTCTTTATTTCTCGGACAACCCCTAATGAAGGCTCGACTGAGGATTGAAGTTTTGTCCTTTCGGGCAACAGTCAATATTTAAATAATTGGTGTTTTCTTTGGCCCAATCCACTTGCTGGCACTTTGAGGCTGCAACATGAAAAATGCATTCTCCCAACAGGATGAATTTCGAATGCAGTGCCAACAGAATAGCAAACCCTATTAATAAAGGCAGTTGTTCCTGTGCCTGCTGCAGTTTCAACTTGCAACAGTATCAATGATATGTTGAGCCCGGAGCGGCACTCAGGACGAGAGTTGCTGCATAAATGCAGTTGCATGTTGCACAAACATCTTTGTGTCTGCCACTACACGCATATTCCACTGTACAGTGTACACGCATGGTGTATATTTCGTTTCAAATTCTGCAAATTGAAAATTATGTATTATCTTTGGCCGGCCCTCTATATTTGCGTAGGCAAGATGCATTGCTCTTCGCAACTTGAAGGATGCATACAGGAGCTCTGCGAGCGGGGGCGTGACTGGTTAGTTGTGGGACAAACTTCACTCGAGTTTCGGGTTGCCGTTTGCAAGGTGTGTGCACATAAATTGTGGCAATTATTTAATGGCCCCGGCCCTAGAGCGATAACATGTACTCCCACGCATGGAGAGTGCACTTAGAAAAACCAATCGGCTTGCAGGATTCAGACAATATAAGGAGTAGTGCTCTTTAATTATACTCCTGGAGGAAACTTTTCCGAGTGCATGCTCTTCACAAAACTCGCACCGAGGCCTGGCAGCACACCTTTGTCTACTTAGGCGGTACATGCAGTTAATACTAATGAGTTATGCTCGTGCACATGCATTTTGCATTTTGTATTTGCTATTTGTTGCTGGCCGCACTATTTGCACACCGCTTGGACACAATATTTGTCCACTCTGTTCTTGTTCTGTCCCCTGGCAGGTCTCCTGCCCCATCTAAATCTGGAGGATTTACGAGCACGCTCTTCGATATTATTGCAGTGCCCGACTGGCAGGTGCAAATCTCAGATGGCACCTTCCTTTGCTCGACCGGACGAGGTCGAGGCGATAGCTAGACTCAAAGGGTGTTTAAATCCTTTGACTGGCATCCGTTAATTAATGAACGCAATTAAAAGCTTTAATAATATGCTCGAACAGACGTATGTGGAGAATTTATAAAGCAGAGATAGAGCGGGATATTTTTTGCAGCTTTCCTATTTATTCTGTGTGAATGCGCTGCATTTGCATAATGGCGCTTATCAAAGCGTGGCGGCGACAAAGGCTTTACATCGCACCGATCCGATGGCTATGAAAAACTATTAAATTATACACACGTACATATTAAAAGCGTTATAACGTGACAGGCATGTGTCAGGACAGGCCGCAATAAAATGACCGCCGAAGCCAAAGCATTGCGGTAAGCCAGGCAAACCCAGCACGGCCCATAAATAACACCCGAAAAACGGGAAAGAATGGGAGGATATAGTGGGGCATTTAAAGTTAAGCCCGGACCCCGAGTGGTGGGGTCAGGGATTCGAGTGGTCAATAGTTGACCATTGGCGTTCAGCCGTGACGGTAATAAATTTAACGCAATTCGAGTGCAGAATGTAAGTTTCGTGTGCCAGTGTGTTGGCTAAAAATTCCATAAAATTTATTGTGTACTCTGATATGCCAATAAGAACATTGTCAAATGTTAATTTCACGCCTCGCCGACTTCCTTACTTACTGGAAACTTGTAATTGTCCGATGTGTGAGCGGAGAAATAAAATTATATATCGGAATATGGTTGATTTCATTTTAAATCTTGTCAAATGGAGCAAAGCTAATACGGACTGATGGTTTGCCGTGAGCCTAATATGTAGAAATGAAAACATTATGGTCCGGCTTGCTTTACATTTTGGTAATCAAATATACTAGATGCCAGTTGTTCAAATATTAGCTTATTAAATAACGCAAAACATGCATGAATATTAATCAACATGGCCATTTATTAGTACAATAATATCAGCGCATTTTCCGAATTTAATATCTTTTCAGTTTTTGGAAATTAATTTCAAGTTGCACTTGTCAAAATATTGATGTTTGCGAAAAAATGCCCTCCCTAATGGTTTCATAAATTAGAAAATAATATAATTGCCTGGCTCAGGACACCGCCTGCCAATGACAATTAATTCTGCACTGAATTAATTTAATTAAATGCCAAAATGTAATTAAATGCGAATAATGCAAATGAAGGCGTATCACGTGCTGTTCACATTACATACATTTATGTTCATATATATATGTTTATGTATTATATATATCTGCAGTCGCATTTACGTGTAATTTATGCAACTGGGTTAATTAAGCGGCAATTGAGGCGTGTCAAAAAAGATGCGTGGTGGTGTGAACCATAAAAAAATCTAAAAAATTGGATAAAAGGGAGGTCAGAAGGCCAGAGGCCAGATGCCACCTTCTTGCGAGTGCGAGCCACTAAATTGCATTAAAATTGCATTGCCAATTAGGCTTTGGCCGCTGGCCGGTCGATGGCGGCGCTGCTAATTTCGCCTGCAAATTAATTAGAATTATTGGGAGAAAGCCGCGCCCGCCCGGGCACAAAGCCGCCAATTGAATTTAGCGTATGAATTGCATAAATAAAACAACATTTGCGGCATCCTTTTTGGAACCAAATACACGCACGACCAGCTCTCAGCGGCTTTTGCTTGCTAATTTGGCAAAAACGCGTGCAGGTGTAAAGCGCATTGGGTCTGCGGGTAGGCTTACTATCGCCACCAGGACACACCATGGGTATTTTATCCCATTATTTCAAATAAAGGAGAGCACTAGGAAAAAATTATTCAACTAAATAACGGACTATTTTATGTAATAGGGTTCTAAGACAATATTTTTACGAGCTATCTGCCCTAAAAACACAGCAGTTAGCAATAATATTTAAGGAAAAACTTCAATTAAAACACATATTTTGCTGCCGTGTAATTTGCGACCCACTGTGCGTGGCTGTAAGCTGATTTTGCTAAGCGGATTGTATACGTCCTGACCCCCGATAATGATTTGGTGGAGCAGGCCAGGTGCCGCTATAGAGGTGAGAGGGTCATGCTTACCTTTGGCGAGGGCACCACGGAGAATGAGTTCATGATGCGGTCGGGATATTCCTCGCGGATCTTGGAAATCAGCAGCGTACCCAAACCAGATCCGGTACCGCCGCCCAAGGAGTGAGCCAGTTGGAAGCCCTGGAGACAGTCGCATCCCTCGGACTCCTTACGCAGAACCTCCAGTACGGAGTCGATCAGTTCGGCGCCTTCTGTGTAATGGCCCTTGGCCCAGTTGTTGCCTAAGTAAGATTATTAAGATTTCATAATATATTTTATGTCTCGCTGATTAATAATAATAATTAATTGATTGTATTATGTAATGGACGTTTTGGCTGATTGATTAAAATTATACAAAAGAAAAGGCCATCTTTAACACTGGAACATAATTAAAATAAAGAATCATGGTCATCGCCATCAACAATCAACAATTGAAGCAAAAACAGAAGCCGCGTCGTTTGACATGTACAAAATTAATTTTCGTCGTCATCCGCAGGCCATTTTATAATTGCAATCATCATATGAGCATCATTAGCGGTGGGAGGATTGGGCTGAGTATGAGGAGGATACTCGTATTGCAGCCAGCAGCAGTAGATGCAGCAGCAGCGCCAGCAGTTGCATGAGCATCAGCGTCAACATCAGGGATACATCGCAGAGGCTGCTGTTAGACGATAAGCTTTCCTGTGATAACACCATTGGCCATGGTCTCCGCCTTGTCATCTGGTTGTTGGTGCTCATCAAAGCAACAGAAATGTGGCACTGGCCATGTGGGTTGTAGTTGTTGCAGCCACTGTTTTCGTTGCTGCAACAAGGCCAGGCAGCTGCAATAACTGCCACGCCAAAGGATATTTGCTGCAGCGCGGACATCGTCAGTGATGTCAGGCTCCGAAATCTAATCGAAACAAAAGCATGCTCCCAAATCCTCAGGGCAACAAAAGAAAAGGCTCTAGATGGCCAAAACAACATAGCCACATTGACGAGTGCAACAGAAATGCATTAGCCCAAATGCAAAACGGATTTTCGACACTTTTCAAAATAAAACAGGAGTCTTTGGCAGTAGAAAATCCGGGCTTTAAATTAATTTATATTATTAAACTATTTGGCTTCTTATAAGCAAAATAATAAGAACAATAAGATAATTATTTTTTATGATTAATAGAAGAAATTTTTTAAACTTACCTGCTCCGGATTGTCCATAGACAAAGTTATCCGGCCGGAAGAGCTGGCCCATTGGCGACTGGCGAACGGAGTCCATGGTTCCCGGCTCCAGATCGATGAGCACGGCACGGGGCACGTACTTTCCGCTGCTGGCTTCGTTGTAGTAGACATCAATACGCTCGTGCTGCAGATCCGACTCGCCGTGGTAGTAGCCATTGGGGTCGATGCCGTGCTCGTCGGAGATGATTTCCCAGAACTGAAAATGCCAAGAGAAGGAACTCATAAGTGCCGTTTTCATAATGATTCAATAGCATAATGGGTGTAGGCTGGTGTATGCAAAAACGCGACTATCGCAATGAGCTTATTTGCATACGTTCGCAGTCAGTCGTCCGTCTCACATGACGTATGAGTGATATTTTCAGGCAGGGCCCGTTTGTATGCAATAAAAAAGCGCCAAATTCTTAGTAACAATTTTCCTTCCTTTTTTCAGCGCGACACGGTACAGAAATATTATTTTACAATCAATGTACTGCGGAGCTTTTGGGTATTCGCATACCAACGTATATGGGCAAGATCGGGTATTACTGCTTGTATAGAGGTGTGTTTGTATTGCATTGCTTTGGCAATCAATGCATATATATATGAGTGTCCTTTTTACACGGTCCTTGCTTTTATTGCCGACACCATCAGAGCACTCGTCCTTGCTGCTATCTGTCGTCGATTTATGCGCGTGCATATGCTGCAGCCCCCTGTCCCCCCACTTTTCCGTTTTGTCCTTCCCCTCCCACGCACTTCCACATACACATTCGCGCACCGAGCACTTTACATGCCGGGAGCAATTTCTGTTGCATACTTCCATGGGCGCGCATTTTTTCCCGCCGTGTTATTTTTTTGTTGTTGTGTAACGAGCGGGAATAATTGAATCCTTTTAGATGTTTTCATACCCATGTATGAATGTATATGTGCACGTGCATATACACAATATTTTCTGACCTCCCCCAACCCCCCCAAATCCAGGGTACCCCTATTGCGAGTCCGCGACCCATCTCGATTCCGTTTCTCATTTTTATTTACACAAGAATTTCTGCTGCTTGCTGTGTGTTTTTGTTTTGTTTTTGGTTTGGCTCTTTATTTTTTATTGCACAATACGCTTGGCAAAACATTTCACGTTTGCTGCGCATATGAATTTCAAATTTTTAAAAATGTTTCAATCGTTTTTCCCCCTCTGCTGCCGCTCCCACTATACTCATCCGTCAGGTGCGCGGCCAGGTAAGCGAGTGCGGTGGGAGTTGGGGATGGGGTGTGGGGGGAAAATGCTAATTGTGAGAAAATCGCAATGTGCTCTCGGCCTGCCACCGCTTCCGTTTATCGAAATTATTTTTAATGGACTTTAAGGCGGCTGTGGAGGCCAAGGGCCACGAATATATACAACACGGAGAAAAAGGATATGGTTTCAATTTATTTTATTACTCTACAGGCCATTATGTAGCCATAAAAAATAGTTTTTAATGATTTTCGGGTCATATTTATATAAATATTTAAGATAATTTAAAAAACCTTAATTTTCTTGCAGTGAACATATTTTAATATGGATTTTTACTGCTTGACTGGCATTGCCAGTCAGTCAGAACTGTGGAAGGTCGTCGGCAGATTGATTACTGAATATGAATTTTAATTAGTTGCACATGGCACATGGCGGTGGAGATGCGACTTTCCCAGCTGTCGGGACTCTCCGCTGAAGTGCCTGTTGAGGAAATCGTAAGGAAGTACCCTGAATAATGCATGACACCCGGTGTTTATGTCAAGCCCTGTTGTCAGACATCCCGACCAGCGAAGAGTGAGTCCTTTCTGGCGCACATTTGAGCCATAAATAGTTAAGTGGCTTGCGTAAAGCGTTGAAGTCTACTCAGGCAGCTAACAAAGGGATGGCGACTTGGGCGCGGGCTGTTGGCAAGGTGAAAGTTGTAAAAGTTCGAAAAATTTGATAACGGTTGATTGCACACACACAAAGGGTCCTAGCCGAGGAATACACACACCACACCACATGTCCTTTGTGCATGGCCTCGAGCTAGCATATGCTTCTATTTTTTTTATTATTCCGTTTTTTTCGAAGAAGCCATGCTAATCCGAGAGCCGCATAAATGTTTGCGTTGGCACTGCGATTGTTTGGCAAAAGTTTTATTCCTCCATTGGCTTTTAGACACGCAACAATGATAACAAGTTGCACGGCCAAAACACAGACAACAGCCAACAGACAAGAAAAATCGCTGGCCAAGAAAACTTTCGACTGGAGCTTACCCCCGGTGGAACTTTTGGCCCTCACATGGAGAGGTCTCCGCTGCTTTTGCAAACATAACAAACTCGAAATATGACACTCAATTGTACGCATCGGTGGGTACTTTTGGCTTGACAATAACTTTGATTTGCATACGCAACCCTTGGCCCCTTCACTCTATTTTAGGGGAAGGCCCGCATGGGACATGACAGACTTTGTAACTCACACTGGGACGAAAAATGGATCAACGGGTTTCGAAGGACATTTCTGTAAAAAAGGATGAAAGTTTTATTTGAAATATTTTTCTGACATTTATATTTATATCTCTATGATTTTTTCCCAGTGCCGTTGTTTGGGTGTTTCCTTGTCTGTTATGGCCCTTGGCACTTGTTGCCTGTGGGGAAATTCAAATGTGTTTCGTGTATTCTATAAAGCCAATTGCAGATAAGCGTTTTTCTTTTGACTACTTTCGGTCCGTTTACTGGCTGGTTTTTGGTTGTTGGTGGCTCGTTCTTGGTCTCTGGCATTGAGTGAGCAGCCCGGCACGCAGCATAATTTATTTATGAAAACTTTTGCCAGCTGATCTGCCCATCATCCTGGCTGCTGGTCCGCTTGCTTCTGACAACAAGACATCGCCAGTGCCAATGTTTGGCAGTTTGAAGTGGGTAAAGTGGCCCGGGATAGGCCATCAGTTTCCTATTTAAGGAATCACCCACACTAGCACCCGCACCCACCTTATTATCACTCTCCCCCTGTCAAGTCATTTTTGAAAGTAAGAAGCTACGAAAAAAAACAATTACGTTGCCTTCATTTGCTTAAAACTTTTCCGGCTGCGGTCAAACTGCTTAATTACAAAATTGCGTTCATGTGCAAAGGGAACCTGGCCACAAAAAAAAAAGTACTTTGCCACAAAAAAAAAGAAAAAAAGCAAAATGATCAAATTAAAAGTAAACAAAGAGCTGCGTGCGTTGGGCCACAGCGGCGCCATTTTGTGTTTTGCCTCGAAAGTCCTTAAACGGACTTGAAAGAAATCCAAAATTAAAATTCCCAAAGCGTTTATACAAAAACTGAAACAAAAGTCAAGTCGCGATCTACAGGAAGTAGAAAAAAACGCATAAATTAATTGTGGGCAGCTTGTACACTGGACGATAATCTTTGACCCTTCTTTTTAGTAAATTAAAGAAAATATAGACTCCATATTCCCATTTTTAAAATAAGAATTAAAAATATATGTAATTTTGTATAATTATTTCTTATTTCTTTATTTTTTCTTGGTGCACCTTTGCTTTGAGTCCTTATCCTTTGCTAGCGGCTATAAAAGGACAATTTGGCTTGAGAAAGACAGGGATGCGTGAGGCGCAAAGCAACGGAAGTGCATGTCGCACCGGAAGTGAGCCAGCAGAGGGCCAAAAGAGGCGGGGCATGGCAGATTGCTAAGCAGCTGCGTTTGCATACGAAATTTGACGTTCTAGCTCGCGGCTAACATAAATAATAAACAATTGCAGTAATAAATATTAAATGATGGCCAAGCTTGTCTCCAGGCGCCGAGCTTGACATGCGATAGGATTTCGCCAGATTCTGTCAGGTATTCATAAATTTAAATTGTTGAAGCTCGAACATGTCGTGAGAAATCAAATAAACCAAACTATCTGTAAGCGAAATCCCCAAAGGGTGATTGGAGAATATGGAAAACCAATTCATTTGAAAATGCAAATACTACGCTCAACGTTGGTTTGATTTTGTTTGTTAGTTTTAATTATTTGATTTTTTCAAGTCCAGCCTACCCTGCACTCAATTATGTTGTCATCTGCCAGACAATCAACTTCAAATATTCAATTATTCTAAATCATTAAATACATTGAATATATATTGTGTTCCCTGGTGGTTCAGAACTTTCATTACAATTTAATTAAAATAATTAATTAAATGTCTATATAAGCAAATATGCTTGCCCAGTCGAGAGTTCCCAGAGCTGTGACAAAAACTCTCAAAAAAACTGCATGTCTAATTAAAATTCATGGCATTCAGAAATAAAAATCCGACATTATTTCCCACTGCGCAATGCATGGGGTCTTAAAGCCATCTCCTCAGGTGATTTCTTAATCCTTCCAAACTGGAAATGCAATTCATTTTTCGGCCGCTGGCATTATACTAATTATAAAATAATAAACAGGATTTCAGCGCATTTCGATCATTTGCCAATTTACAAATGTGCGACAAATCCGTGCGATTTGCGGGCAAACGCTTAAAATGCAAAGCGTAGAGCAACTAAGTTAATTTATTTTAATTTTGTCGGCCGAACCGAAAAATATATTTGAATATTTTCGGCATTGGCTCAGACCTGTACCTAAGTGTATGTGTGTGTGTTGGCGGATTTCATTTGGCATCCATTAGAGTAATGAGCTTTGTGGGGCAATGGTGTTGAATATGGCGTTCGAAAACACAGAGACAGAAACCGAAATACAACCCTTGCCAATGAGGGCTATAAAACTGAAAATGGCAAAACACTCTTGAAACTTAACGGCCGCCCATCGACGGATGACACTTTGCAGCCTGCGTCCATAAACCATTCCGATTGCCAGCGGCGGAAAAAAGAACAAAAAAAAAAGTATAAATCCACCATATAGATGGCCCATCCGATGTATGTATATCCGATATCCGGGCAATTGGCAGCTGAGCTCCATCCGTCTCCGACTGCTCAAAAATGCAATTTATGTGTGCCGAGCAGCGCAAATAACGAATTGTACCCCAAACTACGCTTAATGCTTCGCTGCCAGTTGGAGTGTAAGCATATTTTGTAATAACACTAAAAGGATCTTATCGACAGTTGACAGTTGTACTCGCATGTTGTCTTTATTGGCCGGAGTCGTTTAGGGTCATAAAACGCTTGAGTATGGCTCGCTTTTCGGGGCCGAACTAAAAACAGGACACAGTGCTTTGTGGATTCCATTGCGAGAGCATAATTAGACTCACGTAGCCAT